ACTACAAGAGTGATTGGAGTCCATAAAAATGAAAATGCACTGTAAGACAAATGGAGCAGGCAGAGTCGGGAGAGCAAGGTAAATGAGGGGGAAAGAGAGAGGGAGAGGACAAGAGAGGGAGACAGAGCGAGAAATCAAGACGGAGGGAATGACAGAGTGAGGAGGATAAAAACGCGAGAGATAGGGCTATTAGAGGTTGAGAGAAAGAGTTAGTGAGAGACCCACGCTGCTCCCAGTAATTGAAAAGGCACCGGGACTGATTTAGAGAGAGGCTTAGCTGGGTTGCTGGCGTGGCGGTGGTGTTGGTGTTGGTGCTGGTGGTGGTGGATGAAGTGGGGGGAGGGAGGGAGGGAGGGAGGGGAGGGGAGACGCTGCATTGCAGAGTACGAGGGAGCAAGAACAGCCAAACCCCCTGCGGCGCTTTCCTCCAGCACCTCTACAGTCGTCATTAGCGCAACACGGTGAAAACGACCCTCGAAGGCCCATAATAAGCAGTGAGGCTGCAAAAACATTATGGCTAAATCCATAGCAGCTAATTACTGTAGGTGTCTTTGCTTTTTTGGCATGAATAAAACAGTGAAGGGAAGGGAAAAGGGCGAGAGAAAGGGGAGAGAAAGTGTCAGGGAAAGTTCTTTTATTGCTCAAGGTGAGGTCCGCCACGGAGAAATTCTCAAGTAGATGAGTGTGTAGGAGCACATGTGTGTTTGTGTGTGTGTGTGTGCGTGGACGCTGTGGGTGCGGAAGTGTAAAGATCAAGCCTTATAAAAGGTCGTCTCTGCTGTTCTTTATTACAGTACTCTAGACGCTGTACTTAAAACTAAAGAGACAATTGGTCCATTCCTCTTGAACGCTGGCACCTTTACAACCACCAGGAGGTGAAATATGCTTGTTTTGCTCAATATAACATTTAAAGCACATTAAGATCGCCTTAATGGACTTCTGGTGCTGTCTACGTGTGTGCGAGCATGGCGGAAAGTGCCAGAAGCTTCCCCCAACATATTGATGTTGAACCTGGTTCGGCTCACCTCATCCGCTTCCTTTACTTGCTAATACAGCTGGACAGGACACCAACAAACAAGGCTCCATGTCACGGCGACCATCCTCTGTCTGAACACACACACACACACACACACAGGAGACACACACACACACACACACTCCTGCTGCATGTCATGGGCCCGTCTCTTAAGTGTGCCTGTTCTTTCCAGGGGCGCTGATACGTGATACCCCTGCCCAGTCAATCCTTCTCGCATTACTGCCTCTGCAGTGTGCTGCTTCATTTACACGTGAAATATTGATGTTCTTAATTTAACCCCCAGGGTGCTCAAGTGTCCCTTCCTCCCCCCGAGAGGAGAGGAGAGGAGAGGAGTGGAGAGGAGGGCAGGCCTTTTACAGGGATCCTGCAGCCGCAATGATGACACCACCGCCTTTCTGTCTCCAGATTGGTTGACGGTGGTGTGTTTGGTTTCACGTCACCGGTTGGCTGGCATGCAGAGTGACAGAACAAACCTACTAACAAAGCGGCCCACCTGTTTCGAACATATGTGCGCGTGTCGATTTATTACATTTTTTTTAACTGTGTATCTTTCGAGGGATGTACAAAGAAAGGTCAAGGAAGCAGTAAAGGGGTGTTAAGTTAAGTGCGACAAATATTTGACGAGTTGAATCTTCAAGCTTGTCCAAACAGCTGTAAAATTTAATCGCTAAGATGGGCGTCTTATTTGGGAAAAGGAAAAGTCTTTTTTTGACCATCTATTATGCATACGTTCAAGTCAAACTGTACCAGGAGAAAACAAAACTTCTGAGTAACTGTTGGAGTATTTGGATCAGGGATGCACCGATCCGCTTCTTTTACCTGCGATACCGATACAGGTATCGTGATAAAGTTCAAGATAGCAGACCCCTTTGCTCACTCCATTTTAAAAACAATTTGGGCATCCCAGCTCAGCCTGTTTACTTGTGGATACCACTCATGGCGCACAGCTTAGAGTTAGACTGATTAGATCGTTGGGCCCATTGTCACAATACCTGATCTAGAATTTTCTTCAGTATCGGGACTGACACTGATATCATTTATCGGATCGGTGCATCCCTAATTTGAATAATCTAGAAATGACAATAAGATGCATTTAAAAAGAATAATAAGCTAACAGTGCAAGAAAACTCAAATGCTAACAAGCCACCTAGCTTGCAAAGTGGGTGATACACAAATTATATTCTGACTTCCCAAAAAGAGGACACTACTACGTGTGGGCGGAGTCACGGAGTTGCAAGAAGTTAATTTGAAGAGTTTTTTCAGGTTGGATCAAGTGTCTTCTATGCGCTTCTAACTCAGTAAGTCCATTTGACACAAAATGGAAACTTATGGACAAAACCCCAGACATTTGAAGGATTTTATAAACTTTCCTGGACAAGGCCGGACAGCCCCTAAAAAAGAGGACATGTCCGGGTAAAAGAGGACATGTGGTCACCCTAAATAATTACACTTGCATCTTGTTGGGGAATTGATGTTAGCAGGGAAAGCTAGCAGCGTAACTTGGTTATTGTCGTGATTTCAGGGATTTTTTTTTTTATATTGCAGGATGAAAACTAACTCTGTGAAACTCTTGGTGTATTGTGCCAACAGCTACAGAGAGGTAAAATAAGATAGGCACTGTCTCATGAACTTTAGGATTAAACAATAAAAATAAATCAACATTAAATTGTTCTACTGTTAAGGTAATGAGATGCTCAAAGTAGGCGCTCTGCCATATTCCCCTCCATAGTAAATGTCAGGGTTTGACTATTTGACTGTCTGAGTTGCCCCAGAGAAGCAGAGCCTCAGCCCTGGCTGTCAATCAAGCTAACTTCAGTTCCTATTGGCTCAACTAGTGCTGCAGGGAGGGGACACTAAAAATGCTGAGTGCATGCATGAGTGTGCCTGACTTTGCTTCAAAATAAAACACCATGATTGTAATTAAAAGGATGACAGACATGATTTTTGAGGCTGGGTTCCTCATCCTGTTTCTTTTGACCCACCCTTCCCTTCACTAACGTCTCGTTTTTATCTGATTACTGCAGACCAGGCTCATTCCTGAGGAACTGAACGGTGTAATGAGTGTGTGAGGAGACCGCTCGGTGTTTTTCCCTTGAAAGCAGAACCCCACCCCATCTCTGAGTAAAATATTGTGTGTGGTTGTCATGTACGAGGCTGTGATTAAGAGCTCACTACATGCTGTAGGTGGGTGTAGGGCTGTCTCAGCCTGGCTGTGCTCTTTTCCAAACATGGTCAAAATACAGTCCAAGGAGAAAAAACAATGTAGTTCCTGACTTTGCAGACGTTCAGGTAGAATCGTGTGTGAGGCACGGCTCAGACCTTTCCGTCCTGTACTCCTGTGTGTGTGTGTGTGTGTGTGTGTGTGTGCTGTTTGAAAAGTGCACACAGCAGTAGTGTTGTGGCCTGGTTTGCCTTACTAGGACAAGCCAACACGGAGTCATTCGACAGAAGCAGGAGGGTTTATTCAAACTCCCACTTGCCTTTTCGAGAAAAAAAAAAAAAGAAAAAACCAACATCCCAGTTACAGCATGTTCCTGTTGCCTAGCAACCGCCTGGGTCTTGAGAGAGAAGAGAGGCGTCATAGATGTGTATGTATATCCAAGGCTGAGCGCGAGAGCAAACACTCTCTCCGCTGCCTCTCCCTCCCCAGTGAGCCGCTCACTCTCTCTCTCTCTCTCGCCATAGCCTCACGGCCATGAAATGGAGCACAGTAACGCACCTCCGTCCTGCCTCCGCCCAACACCACCCAATGACACTGCACATGGAGAGGAGGAGGATGCTTCAATCATTTATTGTTGACACATTTCTCTAAGGTTAACAACATACAGACTTGATATGCTGTCTTTATAGAGCATTTTTCACAATCGAGCATTAATAAAAATGACATAAGACTTGATAAAGTTCATGGTCTTTTATTTGAAAAAAAAAAAAATAAAGACTAGCATGTACAACTTGGAATGAATGTAAACTGAACTCAGATGAACAGACGCGAAGCAAGGTGCACTGGCACTCCTGACAGCGTGCGCTGCGAACACAGTACACCCCTCGCTATGCTCGAGTCTGAGCCGAGAAACAGAAGAAGAAAAAGAAAAAAGTGAAGGCCAGTGATACTCTCTTGCAAGAAAAGAGGACAGACACTCCATCTCAGCAAAAAAAGAAAAGAAAAAAAAGAAAAAAAAAATAGAAAGCTCACCGTAAGACTCTTTATGTCCCCCCTCCTTTGAAGGGCGGGACGCACAACTACTAAGATGGCTGTCCAAATAACATAACAAAAACAAAAGAACATGCCAAACATTTGAAAATGTATTTTTTGTACATTGTTTTTCTCGTTTTTTCTAGCATACAATTAAGTCCCATTCCACTTTTTAACGCTTGAGTTAGAACCTGGTATATTCTCTCATCTTTAACAGTACAGGGTTCCTCTCCAAATACAAAAAAACTGTACCAAACCAACTAGAGGACAGCTTATAGTGGAATCAGCACGCTCTGGTAGCCCGGAGGAGGGATGAGGGGGGCGGGGGTTAGTGCTCCGGTCTCAAGCTGCATGCATGAAGAACAGAAAACAGAGAGAGAGAAAGAAGAGATGGCCAGCCCAGACATTTACCACTAGCAAATGGAACTGGAAGGAGTTCGCCAAATGCTTTAGCTTTAGTCTGAAGGTAGTAGTTACAGGGTTTGTTGTTATTATTTTTACTTGTTAAGTACTGATGCTAAACTGATCTCCGGGGGGAGGGGACAGGATCACTAACCATCATTTTTCATGCAGATATTTTTTGTATATTTTTATATTTTTCCTGTGTGGACAGAAGGATATTTTATTTCAACATTCAATTATTTTCTATACAGAAACAGTATGAATAAATGAACATTTTTTTTTTCCAAGAGGTAAGTAAAACATTTTGATTTTTTTTTTTTTTTCCTTTTTTTTTTCTTCTAAGAGGGAACAGGACGGGGCGGGCGGGCTTCACTTTGCGGTCATCATCTGTACAAACTCTGCAGAGACAGAGAGAGAGAGAAGAAGAGGACAATAAGGACATCGGGTTTTGAAGGATTTGGCTCAGCCTGTTGCCGGCGAGAGCACTCACCTGCTAAATTGTTAAATGCTTTATTAATTTTTTAATCAAGCTGAGCAGGTTTAGAACACACATCCTAATTAGTGTCCCCTTTCCAAACGGCTTCCATGTTCATCTCATTAAACCCATTTGATTAAAAGCCCGAGCGCCGTGCTTACAGTTGCGGCCGCCGATAAGAGTCTTCATACATAATAAAGAATAAATAAATAAATAAATAAGAGAGGACTTTCTTTGTCCGTCTGCGGCACAATGGGAGCGTGGAAATAGGACACTTTTCAACCAAGACTTATGGACTTGGCGCAGTCTCTCGTGTGATGTGGGGAAGGATGGCGATCTCCCATCCCTGTTTTTCGCCACCTACAGCCCCATTAATAATAAGGAATACACATAACTAATATTCTGAGTGTGTGTCCTCAGAGAAATACACACTGCTCTGGCCCCCCTGTTTAATAAAAGCCTATAGTTTGACCTAGAAACTCAAAGCTATTTGCGCACCGTGACATTTTTGAGCACTCGCTCCCTTTATGAAGCATCTGGCGTTACCTTCATAGTTGACCTGTCCGTCTCCGTCGATGTCTGCTTCTCTGATCATCTCGTCCACCTCCTCGTCTGTTAGCTTCTCCCCCAGGTTCGTCATGACGTGACGGAGCTCTGCAGCGCTGATGTAGCCGTTCCCGTCCTGAAAGAAAAGAAGAAAAAAAAAAGACACGAAATGAGAAAAAGTCTCAGATCGATTAATGAGCAGACATGCTAGTCACGGTGTTAATCAAAGAGGAAGTCGGAAACTGATGACTTCTACTTCATTATGTAAATTTAACTCACTCCCAGACTGACCTGGCAAAACCTAGAGTTTAGTCATCTAACCTGTGAGTCATCTTGCTTATTTTGAAACAGATGAAACACGGATATAAAAAATAAAAACTCAGTCTGCCAATTCTAGAAACTTTGATGTAATTTACCTTATCAAATACCCGGAAAGCCTCGCGGATCTCCTCCTCGCTGTCTGTGTCCTTCATTTTTCTGGCCATCATGGTCAGGAACTCCGGGAAGTCGATGGTTCCATTACCTGGAATCGGTGATCAATGAGGCACATTCAATCAGCGCAAAAAATCGCAATTACTTTAAAAGCAAACTCAGATCAGCAGAGACGGAAACTAAGCCAGCATTTAGCTGATGAAACGCACGCTCCGACTGAAGAGTTAAGTCCTGCGGTCCTTTTGTGTTCCCTCAATCTGACAGTTCGCATTACCGTACGCTCCTGAACTTCTCTGTTCATTAGATGCTTTTCTGGCAACATGAGACGCGAGTAATCGCAGAGAGACGATCGTTTTAGTGTACACCTTCCTTCCTGTGATAAACACCGCTAAAAATGGGGGGGTGTACGTGTGCGACTGTGTTTTCCTTTCTTTCCTCGGGGGAAGCCCCTGGGAAGATTGCGTGTTTTATACGCGGCGCAGCAGGATAACAAGGAGGAACGCGTGGTTAGTCATCCATAATGCAGACGTATAGTGTACTGCGATGTGTGGCCTTCAAGGGAGGCGGGATAAATCAAAAGCCGTGTCCCTGCCGGAGACACCGGCTGGAGGGGAAAAGACAAGAAGTGGGCGGAGGGCTTCGATCCAGATGTTCGCGTCCTCTCCTCCACATTTGTCAACGCTAGAATCATTTCACACGCTCTTTATTTGTGGTTTCAGTATGTTGGCCGGTCGTACAGGAATTAGTGGTTTGGTTTTTATGGTGGTGCTAATGGCAGCTGCTGTGCTGGAGGGGCATGTATGCGTGCAACAGGATCAATATCATGTTGCTGTTGTCAAGACAGGATTAGCAGAGGATCAGACCCTCCTGACAGGGGAAGGATCTATGAGGAGCTCAGCAGCTCGCCAACTGCAACCACAGGAGGGAGGGCGGGAGTGTCAGCAACCAGCGGCGGATCTAATGGTCGTGAAAAGACTTTTGTGAAGACCCGAGAGATTTCAGGAGATTGTCGGGGTATTATAATTGAAAACCGACAACAACGTCCAAAAAAGAAAAAAAGAGGAAAAAGTCAAGGGATTGAAGTGAAGGTCACGGACACGGAGGGTAAAGTACCCAGGAGGATTAGCCCTGTGGTGGGACAGTCGGGGCGGGAGAGATTGCGCGCAGATTAACCAATGACAGAGCGAGATAGAGGGAGAATAAGAGAGGCGGGATGGACGTGTGTATGTGTGTGTGTTTGGAGAACGCAAAAGGGATGCAGTAATGTGATGGGGCAGATGGTGATCTCATGGCCGGGGGTAACAATCTAAGGACCTGTTATCTAACGCACAGAGACAGCCGGCAGCACCGAGAGAACACATGCTGCCACTGGGGGTTGGGATGGAGACTGTTGGAGGGGAGGGGGTGAGTGAGTGAGTGAGTGAGGTGCAGTATCACTCTTGGAGAACTGGAAAACCATCATCTGGAGGGAGAGGGAAGAGAGGCAGCCCTGGAGTTATATCTGCTCAAGTGCACCTCAAGCCAGCTGCTGCAGTGGAGGAAGGAAGGGAAGGGAGGGAGGGAGGGAAGGAAGCAAGGAGGGATGAAGATCAGGAGGAAGGCAGGCGGGTAGAGAGAAAATGGTGGGAGAGAAAGAGAGAGAGAGAGAGAGAGAAAATAGAGAGGGAGGGAGGGAGGGAGGGAGTGGGCGGCAGAGAGGGAGATGGAGATGAGGGAGATGTGAAGAGGAGAGAATATAAGGAGTGAACCGAGTGGGAGATGGTGCGATTACACATAAGAGGTGCTGACGCAAACTATAGAAGGCTGAGGCATCTCGGCGTACTTGTGTGCGTGCGTGTGTGTGTGTGTGTGTGTGTGTGTGTGTGGTCATAGCTTTTTCCCTGCATCATAAAGCCAACTTCCCTCTCCGAGATAAGAAGGCAGGCAGGCTGCTGTTGTGTAATGATGATGATGAGTGGTGTGCAGGGACTAAAGCTAATATGTTTGTCGTACCGTTCCTCTTTCATCCATAATTAAAAAAAGCTTTATCTCGACTCAAACATGATGTAACTTCTCTCACATACGGGGTCTTCTTTAGAAGCCTGAAATATTGACGCGTGTTACAAGCAGGTGGGGTTCGCTTGTTTCCCCATCTGTGCGGGATAAACGGCGGCATTTCCATTTCCTACTGTAATCCAAACCGTTCGTAAACCGTGGCTCGGCTTTTACGACGCAATAGCCAGAAGACTTTTCCTCTTGTAACGGCTTTCAGTCTCGTTAAAGCCGTCCATCCTCTCCTCCATTCATCGTAATTCTTTGCCACAGCCTCCTTGTTTGGTAAATAAAGCTGATTTTCAATGGGCCAGCTGACATCCCATTGCTGCCGATGTGGGTACTGGATGTGCAAAGCGCAGAGAGGCCTTATGTAACCACTTTTATTTTCCATTACTAGCTTCATTGCTGTCTGACCTAGATTGCATCAGCCAAGGGAGGCAGAGGCAGAACAAGGGGATGTTAGTGATGATGTGTGAGTGTGTAAGTGTGTGTGTGTATGCTTGCTCCTAGGAGGGGGGGAGGGCGCTGAGGATGGGTGGGAGGACGTTTCAATAAAGGGAGTGTGGTGAAATTGATTTCTCCTGATCAATGCGGTCCCATTTAAAAAAAAAAAAAATCCTATAAGCTGACAGAGCAGCACTGGGGTAAAAGCTCCACTGACAGCTAACATCCTCGGCTACACCGCCCAAGGATGGCCAGCTGGGGAGCTACCGGCCAACTTCTCCCCCACTCTCTCTCTTTTTTTACTGTCCCTTTCAGAGCCCTTTGGGAAAAGGCTGCAGAGAAGAAGAAGAAGAAGAAAGACTCGTTGAACCTCTTGTCTTGTCCGACAGTCTTTTGTCGCTTCGCCCGCTCTGCTCACGAGCACTTAAAGCAGCGCCTCCTGTGCGTTCGCATTGTCAACTATGATGGAGCTGAACACGCAGTGACTAAACTGCTGACACAGTGAGACACGTCATCTGAAAATAAAGCTGGCCCGGACAGTTGGCCCGGACAGTTGGTTAAAAAAAAAAGGGAGCGGGGTGGGCAATGACACCGCTTCTATGTTTGCAGATGCCGTCTCTAATCTCTTACAGAGGCTTTATCGCCCCAGTCATGCAACGTAACGGTGACATAAAATTACAGATCTATTTCTCAACAATGATTTGGCATTCGCGAGTGACACTCGTACATCATCTCGTTGATTAAAAACGGGGGTGTGAGCAGGAAAGGATTAGTTTAATTGCTGATAGAGAAGGAATGGTGTCACCTTATTAACCTAAATATTAAAGCCCTTCCTTCTGCCTCACAGTCGACTCGCACGTAGAGAGAATATTAACGATTTAATTGCTTCTTCGGGGCTCGACAGCGCGACCATTTCACTCGCATTTGTGTGCGAATTGTAAAATGTATTTAGGGGCACGTGTATAAAAAAATTAGCCGAGGCAACACATGTTTTTTTATGTAAATCAATGTTGTTTTGCCCCTTTTTTTCCACGATGAAGACGTGAAGTTGACGAGCTAAACATAAGTCTTAGACGACTAAAATGTGACGAGACGAATGTGCATATACGTTGACGAGACTGGACGAAAACGTTAGTGGTGAACAACGAACAGAGTTGCAAAATTCATGAGCATTTTGTCAGTCAAACGCTAAACATATATTCTGCAGTGTTGTTTTCGTTGACGATGACGTCATCGCCAACGAAAACAACACTGATGTAAATACCGCGGTGAAGTTAGTTTTACGTTGGATATTCGCCGGCTCTACCAGTGTCTTCTCAATCTCCGTAACCAGGAATAGCAACAGCAGTGTGGTTAAATCTACTCGGCATCCTCGCTGTCAACGTTGGGTGTTGAATAAGGGACCATCAATAAATTACGGGTTGATGTTCTCAGAAAAGGCTGTTTTCCTTCAATAGCTTCCATGTCATGTGACCAATTGACCTAAAAATGATTTCAAATAATAATAATTATGTTGACCAATAAGACACGCCTCTTTATTTCCCCAATTTGTCCTTTAAAAAATTTCTGGGTTAAATTTAAAGGCAAATTTTGAACATTTCCTTCAATAGCTTCCATGTCACGTGACCGATTGACCCTAAAATTGATTTCAAATAATAGTACTTATGTTGACCAATAAGACACACATTATCTGATCAGTTTTCATTGTGAAGAAAGTTAGTGTCACGCCCTGTTCTTATTCACTTTTCAATCGTTTATCCATTTGTGGCACACATTGGAAATATTCTGGGATGGAAAATAAATTTAACGCCAACTGAGTTTTGAAAAGACCTGAATAATTGAGATTTTGCAGATATGATCGACTGTATATCCTCGTGTAAGGATCCCCTAACATGAAACCATCGACATATCAAAGAACCTGTTTGTAGAATGAGGCCATGTCTGAATAAGGAAAGTGTGTTTGATCACTAAACGCTGAAACGTCATCATCCTTTTAGATCTTAAGACCAACGATGGGAGTTTCCCGCTTTATTTTCTATGATACCACCGGGACCTGAAGAACTCAATCGTTTCATTCAAGCCCAGTGTAACTAACAACCGTTATCGACTATCAAGAGAAATCAAGTTTGCACACTAACCGTCAGCGTCCACCTCATTGATCATGTCTTGCAGTTCAGCCTCTGTGGGGTTCTGGCCCAACGACCTCATGACAGTGCCGAGCTCTTTGGTGGTAATGGTGCCGTCACCATCCTTGTCGAATAAGGAGAAAGCCTCCTTGAACTCTGCGGGGGCGGAGGAGAGAGTCGAAGGTGAGCAGAAATTGATTATTCTGAGTAAAGAGACCTTGATGCTCACACAGCTACATACTTTCTGTAATTTGGCCTACATGAGCATGAACATAAACCACATGAGGATCACATGTCAAACTTTTCATGCAAATACTTGAGACATTAAGATGCCTCTGTGATTGAAACTTTGCCTTATGACACCTTTATCCTGAGTCATGATATGCTGTTAAGGGAATATATCATGTTTCCACTAGAGCTTGATAAGGAAAAGGAAAAAAGTGTCTTTTCGTACCTGCGATCTGCTCCTCTGTTAGTTGGTCAGCCTGTGGTTGGAAAAAAAAAAAGAGGGTAGAGAGTTACAAACAATGAAGTTACTCAAAAGGCCCGTCTTTTTCGTCATTGCATTCCTCGTCGTCCCCACACGCCACAGCTCAACACTGGTCGCAGTGTCTGAGGGTCTTTGCTAGGCCATGACAAGAATCTGCTCTCAGAGCTGCCAAGGTCCACGTAAACTCCAAGCCTCATTAAGTCCGAGCCGGTCTATCAGATCAACAACTTCTGGTAACGTTTATTTTCTCAAATGCTTTCCTTAACTGTCCTGAAGTAGTCGGACACCAGGTGGAGTCCATTTTGGCTCAAGAGCTATAAAAGTGATAGTAACCCAGTTCGAGCTCTAACAGTAACAGTAACAGTAGAGTCCATAAAACGTTTTAAAGGTTATCCTTGTTTGATGGACTCTTAGAAAGCCACACTGCATGAATTTAAGGTGGTCTGCACACAAAAGGGACTGCTGGGCAACTTGACAGCGTACTAAAACGGGTGAAGTGCTGTCTCCAGACCGGGAGAAACTGTTTAGGCGGGGTTGATTCAGGACATAGCAGCATGGGGGTGTTTTCCACGCTCCTACCGACAGGAAAAATGGCCCGCTGGGTTGGCGTGGTTTACTCCCCTCCCAGCCTGTTCCCTCTGCTCAGCTCAGGCTCGGCTCTCATGGCTGATAGTGACTCACTCGGCGCTGTAAATGGTGAGTGTGCATCCACTGCCAGGCCTTTTTTACATGGATGGATCAGGCCTCTTTGTGTGTGTAGCAACCGCTGATTTCAAACAAAAAACACCCTCAGCGGTATAAAAGTGTGAATACAGAGTTTGTGGTGCAAAGAACTCCCACAGAAGCCCCCCTCCCCTTATTCCTGCTTTAGAGAAGAAAGGAGATTTTCAACTCATTATTGTAAGACACACACAAACGAACACGTGCGCGTACGCCTGCACACTCACATGCATACACAGAGCCCTTCTTAACAGTATTCCTTCGACACCCATACTTTCCAGCCCCGTGTTTCCTGTGAATTAGTCAGAGTAGCCGGTTCTGCCTCAAAGCAAATTCCTGCCGCCTGTTTGTGTGTTTACGTGTTTGTACAAGCAATCTAAATTTGAGCGGTACTACACAAATCTGAGCCCGTGTTTACGGATGGGGCTATTTTATTTAGTTAACCAGGCCAGAACATCCAATTTCTTGCGTGATACCTTGATTCGGTTAGACTAGATGAGATTTAGCGGATCATCTCATGACACATTGCGAGCTGACCTTTCTGTTTTTTAAAAACAAGGCCTCTCTGTGGCTTGAGTAGGATCAGGATAGATTGATTAAGCCAGTGAAGGGTGCATGGACTATTTCAGCGGCGCTCATACAATTAGCTAACATGATTCAATAACCGTCTCTGCACAAAGCAGCCCATGCTTTTCTTCCCCATCCCCTCCCTGCGCCCTCCTCCTGCCTCCGTTTCCATGCAATGGAAATGTCAAGAGACAAAACAGCTCGGCCGACACCGACATGCCACCCAGCTTGGCCAGTAACTCAGTCTTGTCTGCTTTCTGGTGCCAACCTCCTCCTCCTCCTCCTCCTCCTTCGTGTTCGTTTCTCTGATGGTTGTATCTTCTCCTGTCTTTCCTAGGTCAACTTCTTTCTGCTGCAATGCTCCTGCTGTATCATTTCTGTCCCCTGCTGTCTCCCTAAGTGGACTGGGTGTGGGGTTCGGTGACTCAGTGCTATGAGTCCTCTCCTGGCTCAGGCCCAAGCCGGGGCCTCACGGTGCTGCTGCACCACAAGACCCACGAAGCAGCCCATCCCTTCCTACTCTCCTTTTTCCTCCTTCTTCCTTTCCTGGCACTTGAGCCTCAGCCAACAGCAACAACTCCTCCTCCTCCAGTCGTTTCCCCTCTCTCTGTATACTCTCTATACGCCACATACTGTTTGGAGGAAACTCCCTGTGATTCACTATCTACAGTGTCCTATGGACGGGGCTGTGCACTGCCAGGCTCCCTGTCTCAGTAACAGCTTGTAGAGGAATAGGAGTGTGTCAGTGTTGGGGGGGGTTCGCTGGCATGAGTGGGTCAGCCACTCCCACTGTTGCTCAGGCAGCCAGCCCCAGCAATGCTCTCCAAGCAGGACTGTGGGGGACAGGAGGCAGTTCACTGGGCCAATGTAGATTATCTCTCTGTAACACTCTCACACAAACAAGCTGCATCGTTTTACGGCTCACATTTGTCCGATAGATGATGCAGAATTGTGTGAAAAGATGGTCGACCGTTATCCTTGAAATCAAGCCCGTGCACAGGTTTCAACTCACTGATCAGTCACGGTGAAGTGCTTCAACAACTCCTGAAGTAGCTTCTCTGTGTTCATCTTGTGAAAGGTGCACAACCAGCTGTCACTCTGGCAGATGGGTGTGACACACACACACACACACACACACACACACTCACACACACACACACATGTCCATTCACCCTAACCCAAGCACAAACACAAAGAGTCAGTGTGACCCACACACTCCTTTTCTATAGGAGCACAGAGCTCCACAGAGCGCTGAACGCCTCTTCTCTTTCAGGCCGGACAAAAGACAGTGAGGCCTCGGGGCCGGGCTGTGACTGAAGGGGAGGAGGGAGAGAGGGTGGGTGTAAACAACACCAGCCTCCCCTCCCTACACCCTGCAGACCAGGCCGGTCCACCATATGGCCTGGTGGTGGTAGGTGGCTGGGTACTCCTCCGCACCACAGAGAGCACTTTATCGCTCCTAGACAGTAGGAACACAGGACATGGCTAGGTGTTGCCGCCAAGCATATAAATTATTCATCGTCGTGGATCAGATGTCCATCGAGTTACTAAACATGCATCAGCAAACAAGAGCGTAACAGGAACAGGATAGGGCCCTAGCATAGTCCGACTACTTATTTGATACTTCCACCTCAATGGGGGAGGCTGTTTCCACTCCAGCAGGTACATTGATGCAGACGAGGGGCTTACGCCTGTGGATTCAACTTTTTCAGGTACACTGATACGCCAGCTAACTCCACAACAATCCCACTTTACACTCCAATTACGGCGCTGCATTGCAACGCGAAACTGCAATGCAGTTTCGATACCATATATGGGACATATGATCACAGCAGAAGGAATAAAAGGCATACAGCCTGATAATCAATGGGTCATGAAATGTTCAGATCATTTCCAAGACGTAGCCACTCTGATAGGGCTGATTGCAGATGCCATTGTGGGTGCAAACACGTCCCCTGTGGTTGGTAAGATTAATTAAAACGTAATGTGCATGTCAGTGTATTTTGCAAGTCACTGAGGCCTCATATAAAGCTGTAGACTTGGCAGTAATTGGTGTTACATTGGGGGGAAAAGTCAACCTAACTTCCCCAGCTGTTGATGGTTTCAGTGGCCAGTGAGAGGCTTTGCTTCTTCGACAACTCATACGGGTGCCACATTTGCATAACATCGAAAAATTTGCAAAGAGGCAACCAAATCAGCCGACATAACACAAATAGATAATACAGCCCAAGATAAACCCTACTAAAGGAGGCCTGCAGTGAAGGCAGAACTACGTCTGGTCTGGTGTCCTTTTTTTATTCGTACCAACCACAGTTATAACCTTGTAATTACGGAATATGGTCCGTTTCCGTTGCGGAACACTGACGAGATACAACAGTGCCATTCCACCCATCGTGGCACGAGGCGGCACGGCGCGGCACGGCTCGGCGCGAGAGAGAGGCAAGATGGTGCAACGCAGAAAAAGGGGAAGCCGAAAAGGGACTGCCAGCTCCTTTTCCTCATAACCAGGGGAGCGTCATTCTCGGGTTCACTGCGTTCATTGCGAGTAGAAATCACTCACACAGGGATAGAAACATACCCATTCATGTAACACACTCTAAAACAGGTTAATTCTTGTTGGGAATATCACGGTTTGTTCTCATAACGGTTGGAAATCTTCAAAGGCGGGTTGTAAAATCGACCCCAAAGCCTTTACGACCGCAAAATTACACTCCTATAAACCAGAATGTGGCTTACAAGTCATCCCGATCCAGAATGTCATCCCGATCGAGAACAAGTCATCCCGATACAACCACAATGAGTCAAAATGAGGAATTTTATCCGCACAACGCAGCTACTTGACACGATACAGCCGAATAACGAGTATTGCTGTATGGATTGCGCAGTTATGAGGAATTACGGTCCCATTTTGACTATGAACGCGCTACAACACGTAAATCCACGAAGACGAGAGGGTTTAACCGTTAAAAGCTTTCATATTATCCCATGCACCAGCTAAAACATATCATATGCGCTTTGCGGGCGTTTTCCATCTCCTCTGAGGAGGAATCAATGAGTGAAGAGCAAATAGCCTACAGGAACGGAAACGCATTAAGCAACACTAGTTTTACACTTAAACACACCAGGTTTAACCGCATTAAAACGCATTTTCCTCCAAATACTTAGAATGAATGACGATACATACCATGTCGGATGGGTTGTGTGCTTGTTGGTCTGTAGAGGCAGACTAGGAGTGTGGTCGTTCCTTAGATGGAGTTCCACTGGCGGGTTAGGAGTGTGTATATTGGCCGTGGCCAGAATGGGGATTGCCTTGTGTATCCCTCCGCCACACTAGCACTGATCACTCACTTCCTTATTTCAATTCAGGGGGCTGCTGCAGCAATACAGGGCCTCCAGCAGCAGCAGCAGAAGACATGCCAATCACAAGGGGCTAAAACGCCTGCAGTGCATGGAGAGCATCATTACACACATACTGAACTACATGACAGTGATTATTCAGCAGTTTACTGTTAGGAATATCTTTGTAGAGTTGTGTTACTAAGGTGTGCATTAGAGCTAGCATGCCTTACACATACTTACAGTACACATGAGAGCATACTTCCACAAATTAGTGTGTTGTATTCTTGTTAGGTTCACTTTGCAACAATCCTTGGTTGTCCACAGCAATGTCAAAGTCATATGAGGTGAGGGTCCTTTGAGGAAAACCTGAATAAGTGTTTTTAGGAGCTGTTGTGCAAGTTACTCAACATGATCTTTACTCTATATAATCATCACCCAGAGGCCATTTTTTACACACTTTTTCACATCTGTCTCTCCTCGGTATGTACGCTGTATACCCTACACTTAAACAAAGACAGAGACAAGTTGTCTTGGAGGCTTCTTCAAACTAGTAGAGGTGACAGTAAAGCAATAGAAACTATTAAACTTCAGCCTAGTCAAGGCTTAACCATCCTTAAACTCATCATAAACTACAAAAAAATGCATTTTAAATGCCTATTTACATTTGTTTGATGATTTTAGTTGTTGTTATGGATCCCCAGACCATCAAACTATTGGCCTTATTGCAAATTTCTTTACATTTTTCATTCGAGATAATCATACATGATTATACAGTATGTGTAGTCCCTGTAGTAAAAGACTAACAGAGTTAAATTGGCACCCAGAAGTTGTTTAAATCATAGATATTAAACTTACATGCTTTTCATTGCAATGTCTGGCAATTGATAACACCACAATAAACTTTAAAGACATAAAAAGGCAGACTGCGCCTTTATATTCAATCAGTCTATGACAACTGCACAGCATCAATAAACTGATCTTGCGATAAAGCCTTTGTTTAAAAAAAGGAAAGAAATCAAATTCCCATTTGCTCTTAACATCAATTTTTTCGATCATTACAGTAAAGGGAGCCAGAATCTCCCCACACAGAGCTCTACTTCCCGGCCGCGGAAGGATACTTTAGTGTAGGAAGCAGCCTGGTTGACACTGGAGAATTTGCTGTGCCGGTGTGTGATCGCGTTTCTGATTGGCCGCTGCGGACCTGCAATATTATACTCCATGTGTCGGCTTCATCGATTGGCTACACGGGACCTGCATTGCACCAGGCAGTGGCACTTGATGGAAATATAATAAATATAAATACGAGAAACTTAAAAACCATCGCACCGTCTAGAGCACTCTTTTCTCGGTGTCTTAAACGTGGATAATAATTTTGATTTGTCCCGGTCGAGACGGGAGGAAAAATGCGACAGGTTTGCTTTGCTGCGGGTTAAATGTTTGATAGGCTCGATATAGGAAGTGCGCAGACTTACTATTGGCTACTACAAAGTGTGGTAGGCCAGCGTTAAAATTACAATGAAGCATGTCAGGGTCGCTCACTGCTTATTTAAACGGTACACAACCGGGACGTGTGGCTTTTAATGGAGACCAGCTTTCGTGTTATCATGTTTAACAAGCCGGCGTTTGTCTGCCTCCTGTGAATAAACCCCAAACCTTAGGCAGAATGACGACGCAGAAATGGGAAATGCAGATAGTATCGCTGTGTTGTCATGAAGCACACACACACTTATACACACATACACTCATACTGTGGTTCCTTGCTCTCTGTCTGAGTGTATGAGGTGCACCTACCTGACTCATGCACCACCAAGTGGACAAAATGTGGAGTTATTGGCAGGCTACAACAAGGAAGGAGGATATTTTGGAATTAATAAAGACAAAAAAAGCTCTTATAGTCTACAAAATATGATGGAAAAGCTAAGTTATGCATCTGCAATCTACTGATGTGTGTAAATTTTGGGCTGCTGAGGTATTTCCAACTCAAAACTGTTTTAATTTCAATCAATCAGTCTTTATTTGTAGCACTTTTCATACACAGCCATGTAGCACAAAGTTCTTTACACAGAAAAAGGAATAAAAGAAACAAAGAATACCCAAATCCCATGATCTAAATGCATCAGAAACAGTATTATAACACATAAATTTAAGAAGGAAACAGGAGTGTGCGCACTGAGGAGACTTCATTTTAAAACTTAAGATACGGAAACACTAGAGGTTTTGGTTAAAATCTAAAAATAAAGTAACAGAATGAAATTTAAGAAATAATAGATAAAATGAAATAAAAACAACAGTAAAAGATACTAAAATAAGAGCACCAGAATAGCTCAATAAAAGACAATCCTGTCATTAAAACTAGAAGAGATAAATGCTAAAACACTTCAAGTTAATGATAGAAAACTTTGTTAAAAGCAAAACTAAAAAGGTATGTTTTCAGTTTGCTTTGAAAATTATTAATATTAGGTGCAGTCCTCAGGTCTTCAGGTAAGCTGTTCCATAGATGGGGGCCATAGTAATAAAAAGATGCCTCACTGTATGTCTTGGTTTTAACTTGAGGTAATATTAACAGAGAACTTCCTGAAGACCTGTGGACTCTACCTGCCTCATAAGGTAAAAGCAGATCAGATAGATAAGAAGGGCCAAAGCCATTAAGAGCCTTAAAAACCAATAAAGCAACCTTGAAATCTATTCTAAAAGAGACGGGTAGCCAATGCAGAGACCTTAAAATCGGTGTAATGTGATCTCTCTTTCTGGTCCTTGATAACATCCATGCAGCTGAATTTTGTAATAATTGCAGTTGTCAAAAGTTCTTTTTGGGGAGACCAGATAGGAGGGCATGTCAATAATCTATTCTACAAGTGATAAAAGCATGAATGAATGTCTCTGCATTAGCTTGAGAGAGAAACGGTCGCACTGGGGCTATGTTTTTTAAATCATAAAATGCCTTCTTGGTGATATCTCGTGTGTGAGGCTCAAAGCTCCGTTCTGAATCAAATAAAACACCTAAACTTTTATCTTGTTGACTTGGATTATAGGATAATGCTTTAAGTTTGCTGACCAGTTTCTCTCTCTTGTCCCCTGTCCCAATGACTAAAACCTGAGCTGTGAAAAGTTCTCTGCCATCCATGATTTAATGTCTAAAATGCAGTTAAAAAGGGCACCGAGTGGCCTTAACCCTCCTCCTAGGAAATTCTCATTTTGTCGTGTTTTTCCCTGCACAAAAAACAACGTCATTATGTCCAGACATGTGAGATCAGTTCAGTATGCATGTCTGTGTGAGGGGTATACTGACAAAGAAAGGCCCAGAGGCTCACTACAAAAACTATTATAAGCAGTATTTTCATGGATAATGAAGCCTAACAAGGTAACCTAGAGATGAGAACCAAATTGGATGATAGAGAATTGTTTACAGGTCAAAACTGACCCTTAACATGGTGGGTGTGTAGTTAAAGGTAACACAGGAGGAAGGTTAAAAGAACAGAAGAGCCTTTGAACTGAATAACCAGGGTACACAATGTGCCTCGCATATTCAAGACTGTTAACAGTATCTATGAGTAACTGTCCCCGGACACTGAAACCAGACAAATGACAATGGGTAATACGGTGTCAGTCCCATAGTCCAAAAACAATGCTCTAAAGAGGACAGTTTGGCACCCTGCAACCATTCAGTGCAATATTTGACCATTAGTTTTCCATAAAATCCCTAAATGACATTACTTAAGAGCGATTTAAGAGACTGTAATGAGTCATTTAACGGATGTTTGGATTCAGATTCAGGGCTTTGACTCAGGGCTTGCAGAGTTTATTATGGTAAGAATATAAAGGGAGTATTGTTCTGTGTTTGCAGAACACATATTTGGTTGTAGTGTGGACCCTGCAGCACTGCTGATCACTGCTCAGACTTCATTTTTATACTGTATTCCATTCAGTTAATATTTAAAACATTCAATACAAACAAGGAAAAGTCTCAAACATGAGAATGAAAAGGAGCAGAAAGAAGAAAACTCATATAGAGTCTTAAGATATTAATCAACTAAACACATAAAGATAAACAAGAGCTGCAGGCCAACAAGCTTTTTTACAGTTCAATATTCCTTATTTTCAAAAACAACCCATTAAACAAACAGAAAAGACCACATTAATTCACATTTTTTCACAAAACAAACAATGTTCCCCTGTATTTACTCGACATACTGACTTAGACACTTTTTTTGAAGATAAAATTTGATTTAGCTTCTTTAGTTTCTTTGTTCAGATGGTTCCACAAACTTAATCCTCTAACTGTAACACAGACTTTAACTAACACAAGTTCCCTGCTTTGTTTCTATGTGCAAATTAAAGTTATCAATAATCTGAATTGATAAAATGAAAGTGTGTAGTGTGAAGGTGTCAGATACAACAGTTTACAGAAGAAACACATCAATGTCTGCAAATAATAATAATAACTTTATTTTTATAGCACTTTTAAAAACAAAAGTTTACAAAGTGCTTTGACAAATATTCTTAAAGCTCATGGAAAAAGACAAATAAAAACAAAAAAGCGAATTAAAGGCCATTTTCATATGTCATAAGGAACCCAGACAATACAAGAACTGTGCAACATAAAATGAGACCATGAGGACCAAAATAAAAACATAAATAGGTAAGAAAAAGAAAATGCAGGATAGTAAATATAAAAGACAATATCAATAATGATAGTAAAATAATAATAAAGTAATAGTGATAATAACAGTAATGATAAAATAGAGCAACAGAAATGAACAAAAGAATAAACGGTAGCACTTTACTTGACGCCTATCTCTATAACGCATTATAAATATATGTATAATATGTTATAATCCACTTATGTATAGTTATAAACACTCATAAATGATCATAAGGCTTTATAGCAATAATCATAACACATTATAAAACAATATATCATGACTTACAAGGTCAGGTATTATCATTGTTAGTGAGTTGTTAACTGTTATAACACATTATAATACCTGACTTTGTTAATCATGCTTTATAATGTGTTATGATTATTGCTTATAAAGCATTATGATGATTTATGAGTGTTTATAACAAATCTACAAATTCATGTATCTAATAAAGGTAAAGACTCTGAGAAATGTGTTGCTATGCTGATAAATTATAAATGCAAAAACTGTTTTATATTTAATTTATCGCACATAAATAGTCCTGTTGTGATTTCACAATGATGTCGTGTTAATAGTTTATAGTTGGTGGTGGACTAGTCCAGGGTCAGACAGAGTGTCAGACTCCCGGAGAGAGAGAGATGTTGTACAGTTTGATGGCTACATGCAGGAATGACTTCCCGGGGAATCAGTCTAGAGCACTGAATGTGCTTCAGTGCCTTGATGGAGCGAGCGGGGCACATTGTCCGAGCTGGCACGTAGCTCAGACTGCATCTTCTTTGCTTAGCTCATGCGACAGAGTTATCCATAACCGCCCTGTACTCAGACTCCTCACCTTTTCTGATGCAGAATCAGCTTCTGATGATGTCAGGACTCTGTTGTAGAGGGTGAGGGGGGGGGAGAGACAGGACTGTCCCCTGTGGGGCCCTGGTGTTGCTGACACACAGTGTGTTGTACACATCAAAAAAAAAAGAGTGGGGGTCTGCCAGTCAGATAGTCAACAATCCAGGACACGAGCGGAGCAGCCACCTGCATCCCTGTTAGTGTCTTACACAGTAGAACTGGTAGAAAAGTAATGAAGACCTGCACGGCGCTCTGGTTTGTCAAGGTGAGCGTAACAGGAGGTGACGGCGTGTTCAACTTCTAAGCAGGGCTGGTAGGTGAATTAGAGGAGAGGGGTTTGACGGATCCATAAAGCACTTCTTCATTTCACACGTTGGTTAAAGATCAGTTCGAACATTTCAGCAAAATCAAGCAAATCTCTGCGGTTCAGTCAGAGTCCAGGCTGTTTGCCATCCACACATCAGGTTAAGTAACTCTAACTCAAGTTGAGCTTTTTCTCATGTTAATCTACTGGAACTAATCTGGACTTCTCACTGAATTTGTTCAGTGTTTTGCCCTGTTAAACAGGAGAAATAGCTATTACATAAGCAGACATACATTTGTCTCGCTGCTTTGCTTCTCCTGCTCTCTAACTCACTCGCAGAGGCACAAACACGTATTTCTTCGCCCTCTGCGGTCACACAGAGGATGTGCCCAGTTTAACCAGTTAGTGATGGCAGTAAAAGGAGTGGCAGGATTGTTCATTTTCCTGTAAATGCTTTTTTCTGGGCAGTTGTTCATGTTTTCTCCTTCCTCGCCTCTTGTTTACCTTTTAAAATGCCTGCATTTAAGCTTCAAGTTAGATTTATCGAAGCATGTACGACATGTACTCAAACATGCATGTTACTAACAGGCCCATGTGATATACATGAGGTTTTATTCTGAAAGGCCTGTGTGCTCGAGTGTGTTCGGGAATGCAAAAACATCGCTTTCATGGTGCACATCCTATCTAGGAGCACAATCTGTACACATCACGGAGGAACAGTAGCGTGGAAGTGACATTTCAGAGAATGCCAACACCATGATCAGCCCTGCCGTATCATCCCCCATCAGCGTCTGAGCTCTCACGGGGGCGGTTTAGAAAACCCAACCCGGAGTTTTCCTTGAGCTGACAGGGCAAATGCCTCATTAGATGCACACCCCTTCTCGTCGTAGCCCTCCCAGCCTCTTTGGCCCAACACGTCATGCTTGATTTAAATGTTTTTTTTCCTTCTCCTGTTTGCTGAATGTGCTGCAATGTATGAGCTGGGGTTTGAAATGCGTGACTGATTTAATAAGGAGAGTGTTTCTGAGGAGGGGGCTGCAGCAGTGGCTCTGTTCTCTGTCAGAGCCCAGAGATGGCCCTGTAAAGTGGTTCGGTGCCTGCTGCATGGGGCCACTTTCTGCTGAGCACTGAGTTACACATGGCTCCACATCAAGAGGAATTAAATCAACTTTGCTGTTCCCCTCTCATGTCAGACTGCAGAGCGGGCAGCTTAGCTGGATTTACTTAACCGTGCTGTAATAACGAAAAGGCTGATTTTTGAATAGAAGACAGCGGAATAAAAATCAGAGTGCTCTCTCATCCTTCTGCCAACTATATCAGCATGCCACATGAATCTGAAAACATGCACCGAGAGTAAAGTTAACTTTATTGCCAAGAACCGGTCTCTTAAAACACTTCAGAGTGAAGCATTAGCGCAATGACGTGCCGCTCCTGGAGGCAAAGTCCGAGTAAAACGCTGCAGTCAGGATGTTTTATCTCATCCCGAAACCCTGAGATTTAATTACGTGCATCTGCACTTTCGTCAACTGTGTGGGAGTCGTTATTAGTAGTGAACGTATCTTTAAAGAAAGGTTGGGCCATTTTGGAATAACAGGTAGCATCCTCAGGGAGCGTGAAAGTCAGACAAAAGTGAGAAAAAAAACCTGACTTTGCATATTGATACGACTGATTGTATTTGTGACGTGAGGGCGGCTACACAGAGACCGAACTAATTGAATAATTCATGTGATTAATTATCTCAAGATATTACAGCACAGCAATGAAGTCGATACGCAGCGATCTAATAAGAAGCAGACGTCAACAGATGCTGCTTCTGTGCAAACAAGATTTGAGAGGGTGCTGCTGAGAGCGAGTCAATTTATGTTGACGACAAAAAACATCATAAGTGCTGCTTTTTTGTCCTTTTTATTTATTGTACACATAACAGTAACAGGAGAGTGGGATAAGCGGGACATTACATGCACAAAATATATCAAAACTCTCTCTGGGGAGACAGCCTAGTCAGCTGCTGCCTCCTCTCTTTCACACAGCGGTAGATAAAGGAGAAGAAGGGGTGAGGGAGGCGGTGAGAGTGAGGGATCTGAAAAAAGTTTGAAGGTTAGAGGTAAAGCCCCTCCGGCGTGCCCTCCTGCTTCTTGTACAAGACGTTTTCCTTGGACTTCTTGAAGTCCTCGTTGGTGACTTTCATACGGCGTTCCCGCAGAGCCATGAGGCCGGCTTCTGTGCAGATGGCCTGGAGGACACGGGGAGGGAGAGACAAAAGAAAACCAGCTTTAGGAGATAAAATAAAACGCTTTTAAATAAAAGAGGCACACAGGGAAGAGAGATAGCATGAGGAGGCTCGTTCCAGAGGGGAGCGAGGAGAGGCAGCAGCAACAATAATCCACTTTGTGTTGTCATTTGCTCCAACTATGTGTGTTTAGCTTCCTGCTTAACAGGGTAAACTTGTAACACGTGTCAGGAGAGAGACAGACGAACAGCAGGCAAGGAAACGGGAGAAATGAGGAAACAGCTGATTTACTAAAAGGAGGAGAAATAAAGCAGTACATCGATTTGTCAGAGCTGAATTTAACTCATTTAAAACCGATGGAAGTCGAGATGATAGAGTCAACTTAACCAGCTATCAGGCCCTGAAGAGTCAGAGCTGTGTACTGGGAGTGTCTGCATAATTAATCCAGATTATAATGTTTACATTTGCAAGAAACACACAACATAATGTATCATTAATGGAATGCAGCTTCAGTAATGTACTCTCAATGTTTTCTCACTCAGCCTGTTCATTTAATGGAGAACTGTCATCTCTTAGATTCAGTGGAAACACGCTGCATGAACGTCGTATATTTGCATCGTTCCCAGTGTGTAAGGATCTTAATTCTTCAATTTGAAAAAAAACGGGTTATTGAACATAGAAATCGATTTAAAAATTGTAAAACAAAAAATTGCGATACTTATGTGAATCGATTTTTTTCTCCCACTCCTATAAAATATAAGAGATATGTTTTGTTTTGTTAAAGGAAAAGAGACTCAAAGCTATCTTAAATTGTGTTTAATTAAGTGCATGAAAAACAAAGATTTATAGGGTTACATTTTCCTGAAATAATATGAAATAGTTAGATCTGTATTCATATGAATCAGTCCTGAAACATCCTGAATCAAAGCATACTTTTGTGCAACCTGAGCAAACGATTAACGTTTGTCAAATCCATGAAAAAATGTAATATCTGCATGTAACTCATTAATTTAAGTGTTTCGATGAGTAAAACAGAGTTAAACAAAAATAGTACTGCGATATTGTGGTGAATAAATACTTTAAACTGGAATTAAAACATACAAATGAAGTTTTTGATGCTCTGAACGCTGATAAAAACACAACAGTGTCATTCTTCCAGGCGCCACATGAGGGCAGCAGAGCTGAGCCAATAAAAGCCACAGATGTAAACGTACTGTAAACACTTTTGATGGCAGCTATAACACCATTAGATGCATTGACGCTACAGTAATGTAGAACAGCAGTCCTTGCGGCTCCCCTTCAGACAGCTCCACATTGTTTTCTCTTTCCTGCTGAGCCACAGTGGGAGCTGGCTCGCGGCCAAAACACTCACATAATCGATACGTGCTGCAGTCAGAAAAACCAGGCCGGGCCAAATTAAGGAAACAGACCAAGTAAAGATGCAGTTTGATCGGACACAGCCCTCACCGTGCTGTTTACTCCACTCCTATGCTAAGACAGTTTCTTGTTGTCGAATGGAGGAGAGAAAAGCAGCACAGATGGAAACATGAACCCAGTGGGATCATTATCACCTGCTATCAAACAGTGAAGTGAAGTGAAAAAGGCTGATCTTGGCAGAGGGTCTCGCTCTTACCTTAATGTCTGCTCCTGATAGGTCGTCTTTAGCCAGGATGAGGTCATCGAGGGTGACATCATCCGCGACTGTCATGCGGCTGGTGTGGATCTGGAAGATCCTCCTCTTGGTTTTCTCGTCTGGCAGGGGAAACTCGATCTTACGGTCGATTCTCCCTGTGGAGAGAAAGAAAATCATCATAAACAACCTGCAGGACGCCGATCTGCACACATCAGTAAACCGATGCCAGTAACCCTGCTTCCAGTATGTTTCATAATTTATCACAGTGGTGTGCCAGCTAATCAACCACTGCTGCTATTTGGTTGATTTGTCAAATGTTAGCATGACTTGACACTAACTTTTTTCACAAGGAGCACAAAAAGAACTTTAGGGGCACAATGAAACTTGATCAAATAATGTGTGTTTTATCAGTCGACATAAGAACTAGGGCCTGACCGATATGGATTTTTCGGGGCCGATACTGATTATTAGGGGGGAAAAAATCAGATCACTGATTAATCCGCAGATTTTTAAAATTTTGTTAATTTACTTTTTTTTAACAAATTGTTGCTTTTGAGCCTTTCAAACACTTCTTCAAAGAATTAAGGCACAAAACTCATTTTAAATCCTTTTTATTGCTAAAACAACTAACAAAGAATGAGGTATTTTGTGTAAAGTGCAAATAGTTAACTTCCATTTCAAAATGAGGAACACTTAATGTATTGAAGGCTACTGCTCTTCACGCCGACAGAAACCGACTGATCATCTCAGTAATGTTACCCGTAGTCAGTCGATGAAGATTGTCATGAGGTCGCTGCGCCATCTACAGGATAAGTCGAGGGATCTTTTCAAATGGTGCAACATTTTCGAAGTGAAACCGAATCGTGTTCTTCGCATTTTATTTCTGAGATTATCGGCGAGTTTTGGCTGATTGACGATTAGTCTCAAATGGGGTAAAATTGGCCGATTTAATTGGCTCGCCGAAAAATCAGTCGGGCCCTAATAAGTACAATTATTTGAAATCAATTTTAGGTCTTTTGGTCACATGACATGGAAGCTATTGAAGAAAATTTTCAAAATTTGCCTTTAAATTTAACAAAAACATTTTTTAAGAGGACAAATAACTAACTAACTAACTTACTAACTAACTAAAACTAACTGTGCCAAACATTTTACAATTCGCCCACATCTATTTTTAGTCGCAAGTGCAAGTGAAACGGTCGCACTATCAAGCTCTGGTTAGTCATTCAGGCAGTTTGGTGAGTAATGGTCACTGTAAGTCCACTTTGATATTTCTGATATAACGGCTGCAAAGGTCAAGAGATTATTAAGCCTTTTAAAAATAGTTCAATTGTGTCACCAAGAGAAATCTTAAGACGCTTAGTCATCATTAAGCCCTTTAAATCCAGAGTCTGTAGACTGGTTGGCGAACAGAACCAGAACGAGGGTGTATCAGACTTTCACTGACCGGGTCGGATGAGGGCCGGGTCCAGGGTTTCTATCCGGTTGGTGGCCATGATAACTTTCACGTCTCCCCGAGAGTCGAAGCCGTCCAGCTGGTTGAGCAGCTCCAGCATGGTCCTCTGGATCTCCCTCTCTCCTCCAGAGTTTGAATCATACCTAGATACACAAATAGGGAACATTTATCTTCACAGGAATCTAACACACGACATCCTAATACCGTTTCCAATCCCATGTTGTGAAAGGGAGAAAAAAAACTTGTAAAGTGGGGCGTAAACTCTGGAATTACCTCGTTTTTCCAGCCTCATTAACAAATGCAGCTAAAAATAAAGTTGTGATTTTTGTCGTGAATGAGATCAGCGAGTTTTCACACTCACTGATCCAACACCTTCTCATCCACTGCCGACTCTTTAGCGCTTCAGGTGACACATTACCTCTGTTCTGCCGCTCTCAGTCTCTCACCCTCTCCGTACCACGTACTTCTGAGTAGACGCTGACGTACCTCTTCGTGCCGATGGCGTCGATCTCGTCGATGAAGACGATAGACGGCGCGTGCTCCTCTGCCACCCTGAATAGCTCTCGGACAAGCTTGGGCCCGTCTCCCAGGTACTTCTGGATGAGCTCGGAGCCCACCACGCGGAGGAAGGTGGCTGACGTCTGATTGGCTACCGCCTTGGCGAGCAGAGTCTTCCCTAAAATGTGCAAAACAGCTCAGTTTGTACTTGGCCACGAAAATTAACTTGGCTTCGACTTTGTTTACAGCTGTTTCATATTCATGTGACGCTCAAAAGTGCATCTTTAAAACATTCAAATTGATAATTCTCTCATTTGAATTTCAATAGGTCACTTGAATTGATAATGAACTTTTAACAGCATGAGAAGAACTTTTTTTGCCCTTAAAAAACAACAACAGACACATTAATTTGAAAGATTTTACCACCTAAGTCAAAACATCACAATTTTGTCTTTCAGTCTGCAATCTGCATCAACTAGCAGCTACTTTCCTGCTTAAAATGGAAATCTAAATTCTTACAGTCTAATCCAAAAAGTAAGAAAACACTCAATAAAGTCAAAATTTTCTAACATGGCTAAACCTAAAGTGGCAGAGTCTGCAAAAAGCCGGACAATGTCAAATTGTTATGCCAAGAAGAGCTATCATTCGCAGAGCTTGAACCACCGGCCCTTAGTCCTCTTTGCAGGTCGACTCTCAGCTGCATGTTCTGGTTATTTCTCTGTTATTTTATGTGACGGTTGAAGTAGTCACTGCCCACAGACTACTTTATCCCAATTTTCTGGGTCAAACAGCTCCCAAACCACGTGACGCTGTCTGTTTTGTGTGATTGTTTACACCTCCGAAACAGAACATGTGAGCTTTACGGCAGAAGCCATCACTGAGTCATTAGTTAAGGTTATCACCAGGTGGCTGTGCGATGAATTGTGGATAATATCTGTTCATTATTTTGGGTTTAGAGTGATGAAATTATTCTGATTTGTTTAACAGATTAGTAATTCTGGTGCTGACTCACACTCACAGGGGTGACACACTTGATCTTTGAGTCACTTTAAAACACATCCAGTAAAAATAAAAACATGTAAATGTGACAAATGTTAATTCGGTAATCAATCTGGTCATAATGATACTGTTTTAATGAATTTATTATTATCTGGGCCCTTTATTTTCTCCTATTCCGATTCATTTCAACCGTGTAACGCTGACTGCACATGACTTTTATCGGCAGCAGCACTGAGGGGCTGCAGGAGGTTAGTGACAGTCTGTCACCTTCTCCGTTGCGGTGCCCTTTACAAAAGGTCCCTCCTGGCCAAATGCAATTTGCCATCAATGTCAAACAGGGGGTAGCGACATCTTTATCTCGAGATTTCGAAAAATATACTCGATTTCGATGTGACTGAGCTGAAGGAGAAAAAGTTGAGCTGTTTTTAAGTATCGATAAGAGCTCCTCTCAAAGATTTATAAAGCTGGGTGTCAGAACATGGAATCATATATCTTATTTATCCTTATTCCCACATTATAGACCGCAGAGAGTGTACACACATCATGTCACCACTTAGACGGCTGTGGCCCCTACAAATAAATTTTTTCTGACTAAGTTTTACACATTAAAATTTGACTGGTGGCACTTACCTGTGCCTGGCGGTCCATATAAAATAACACCTTTAGGAGGCTTGATGCCCATCTCTTCATAATACTCTGGATGTGTGAGAGGTAACTCCACTGACTCCTGCGTAGAGGAAGAAAACATCGACAGCCTCAGTTTAAACACAAAGAATCACTCAAGCACAGATTTGCTCAGAGTCCTTGCTTATTGATGCCATTAGAAACATCAAATACGTGTGTTTTCTCCCGACATTGTTGTTAAAATTGTACCTTTATCTCTTGGATCTGATTGTCCAGTCCTCCAATGTCAGCGTAGGTTTCTTGAGGAGCCTTCTCCACCTTCATGACTGTGACCAGGGGATCAGTGTCGTCCATCAGCACTCCAATCACAGCATGAACCTACAAGTGATACACAAACGTCCGACAAGTAGTCAGGATTGTGTCAGCCATTTTTGGGGGGTATCGTAGGACTACATTAGATGGTTGAAGAAAGACTTGGTATAGAGTTCTCACTAAATATCACCTTATGGTTGAGCAGGACAGAGCAGCCAGGCTCCAGAAGATCTTTATCCACAAACGACAGGATGCTGACATAGTGCTCTGATCCCACTGAGGTGGAAACGATGGCGTGGTTGTCATCGATGATTTCTTCAAGTGTGCCCACAGACATGGGGGTTCCACGCAGGTCATCCACCTTTGACCTCTCCTCCTGTTAACAAAAGACCAGGATTTATTCAGTCAGGTTAAGTTTAAGAGAAGCTACGATTTAGTCTTTCATTTAAAGCAAGTAACTTCAACACTTAAGAAAGCGAGGTCCATATGTGACTGAGCTGACCTCCTGTTTCTCCTCCAGGGGCTTCATCTGCTCCTGGTTCCTGATGAATTCTTCCTCCATCAGTAGATAGTCTTTGATTCGCTCCTGTTTGAGTAGCTTCAGGCGGCACTGAGTGTGAGGAGTGACTAAAGAGAGGCAAATAAATGTAAAGCTAAAGTTTAAAAATCTTTTGATTTAAAGTTTATGATCTAGTTCATTAGATTTGCATCCTGACCGCAAGAGTCTTTGCTGATTTTGTGACTGTACTGCAGAATACCACAGGAAGAGACTGACATCCTCTGGTACATCCTGTAACTGCATATAATGAGGTGAACTGATAGACTGGTTTGTAAAGTCCTTACCCAAAGGCAGTTTACTAGCGGCATCTGGTCCTTTGGTCTTCTTCTTTTTCTTGCCGACTCTGGTGGGAATTGGAGGCTCATATTTCTTTTTCTTATCCTGAAGTCACAAAGAGTGGATTTGCACATGTCAGGAGAGTTAAGAAGCTTGTTTTACATATTACATGAAGTATTGTAAAAGGCCTGTTAGAAGCATGTGGTAAACAGCATTTGTAGATGACTGTGATAAGAGCTGAAACAAATCAACAGGGGAAAGAGGACAGTAATTTTATTAATTTTTATTTATTTCATTTCACTTAATTTTAAAGGGATATTACGGCGTAAAGTTAAGTCAGGGTCAGGCACAACGTAACACCGAGTTAGACACCCCCTCGAGAGGTGAATGTTCCCGACCTCTTGCTTCTCTAGTTATACCAACTTTAGTAACGACCACACGATAGCAATACAGAGAGCGACGCGCTCAACCAAAACGCCACACTATAGTAATGGACTTGCCTGAGGTCTCGCTACAAACAAGCGTCTGCTGGAAGAGAGTAGATGAGTTGTGTTTAGTCTTTTTTAAAAGAAATTAGGCAAAGTTAAAAAGATGTTTGATGACTGGGACCCTATATGTACTGATGATGAAGTTAGATGCTGCTCTGAACATTATTTGTGGCTATAGAGTGGTGTTGAGGTTTGTTTATGGCTTCTCAGACCGCTGTGTATTGCTATTGTGCGGTCTTTACTAAAGTTGGTATAACTAGAGTAGCAAGCAGTCGGCAACATTCATCTCTTGAAGAGGTGTCTAGCTCAGTGTTACGGTGTATTTGACCCTAAATTAATTTTACACCAGAATATCCTTTTAAAACTACTCAACCACAGGGGTGAACAAACGTGAAACTCTTAAAAAACAACAGGTGCAGATCAGTGCAAAGTCACTTTTTATTATACATTTTGAATAAATAAGTCCTTATACATAATCACGGATTGATTCTTTTAACTTTTCTTTAAAATATCATAATTGAGCTTAAAATAAAGCACCATCTCTACCTCTGAAAATCAAGCTATCTGCTCATTTAACCAGCTAATATTATTATAATACAGGCCAAAAGCATTTCTTGTCACATTTTCAGCTTATTTTTAAACTCAAACCATCATAATAGATTCATTTCTTGCTCATAAACCTCCTACATGATCATTTTAACCACCAGAATCTCAGTAAACATTCAGAGCAGAAAACTGAAGCTGTGTCATCCTCACCTTGTCATCCTTCTTTCCCCCTCCTGGACCGTGGCCTCCACTCTGGTTCTGACCCTGAAAGAAATGGACATGTTAATAAATATGATCATAGTAATGCTCATACTTAACTCTTAACTGTTTAAATGATTTCTCTAAATAAAGTCAGGAGTCGTCGTCAACATGTAAACGGAGAGAGAAGCTAACACAGCTAGCCTCCGCTCGGTGAGCTCATACAAACTCCTAATTCTGATTTAACTACACTATTATCACACACAGCTAACCAAGTCTTCATTACAGAGTGACAGTTAAAGTATGTGGCGCCCTCGGTTAGGTTTTATCGGTTAAAAATACATTTAAATAGAAATGACAAACGAGCCGGAGAGAAAATTTGCTTGCTCACTTACCATTGTTGCTTGTCGCTCTGGTGAGACGTCACCGGGGTACGGGTGCCTGACGAGGCCAAAAAGGAAAAAGCGACTCTTGGATGGCTGGAGCGCTCCGTTGTGTAAGGCGAACCAGTAAAAAAAAAAAAACAGGCATTTTTCATTTTTGTTATCATTATTTCAAAACAACTATTACTATTTTGATAATTTTAAATATTCAATATAAAATCTACAATCTTCAAGTGACTAGTTTTTTCCTAAATAATTGAAGTTTTTACTCTACGACGGAGTATTAAGGCCACATTAAGAACAAAAAACAAACTTCGAAGTTGAAGTTGTTAATTTACGAGAATAAATTCATTACTAACGAGCATAAAGTCATTACTGACGAGAATAAAGTAATTAAATACGAGAAAGGAGTTGAAATAAAATCATTACGATAATAAAGACGTAACAAAGTAATTATTTACAAGAATAAAGTCTTAATAAAATCCTTATGATACATACGATAATATATATTGAAGTACATTTTCACGAAATGCTCCATGGCTCTCATTTCAACAACCCACTGAGCATTTTTTGGTCTAAAAGAGGTTGAACAGACGTCTAAATGTAGCCTAGACGACTGGTCTAAAATCAGGCTACCACAGGTCTAAAGATTAAAGTTTTTTAGACGTCTAAATTTAGACCAAGTTTAGACTAGCCAGCTAACAGAGGTCTACACTGTATTTTGCTCAACGGCTATCATAATTATTTTGGTTAAGAATTTGGAGATCAGTTACACAACTCACAGTTCCTTTTCCCTGAAATAAATAGTTATTGAATAATGGGTTAAAGTGCAGCGTCTAAATTCTTTCTAAAAGTATACAGAATCAAGATGGTTGAAAATAGGTTTAAAAATAACTAGACATCTAATAGCCATCTATTGCTCAGTGGGAACTGTCATCTTAAACAACAGGTTAGGATATAAGGACTTTATTCTGACTTTACTCTAGTAAGTAATGATTTTATTGTGAAATTATTCTCATAAATCAACGACTTAAATCTCGCAGTCTTATTTTTTCTTTATTAATGTGGCCCTTATACTCTGTCGTATTACACTTTTTGTTTAGTTTAACAAGGAATAAATCCTTATCATCAAAATTCAGAAGACCAGATATAAAAAGGCAAGAAATCAAGAGAAAGGACATGTAGAGATTTCTGTACAGGATAATGACTGGCTGTCATATTGAGGACAAGCTCAGTCAAAGTGTATTGTGCTATACAAAAGAAGATGGTCTATCGTATGGTGCCATCATATACTCAAGTGCCCTATAATTTACAAGCTACAGTCCAGTGTTATAACAACTGCACACCTCATTATGTTGCTCTAATGAAGGCTTTCCATAACACGTTATCTAACTTACTGTGATGAACATCACATAACATGTGTTGCCATGGTTACTTTTTTTCACACCAGGCTATAAACATGATCATTTCTGCTGTGAAATTTGGGGTTTTATGTTGTTCTTCTGGGCAAACTGCAGTTTTTGCACTCCTGATTTGGCTTCATTTTTAATCACCAGAAGTTACTGTTCAGACTTGGCCTGTGTGCTCAACATCAGTAAGATTCAGAAAAAAACAGCAGAAATAATATGACTCAAATGCATGTGTCACTGTGCAGTTATTTAACCAGTCTCACAGCCTTTATTCTCACACACTATTCTTCTTCTTATGTCACACTCATGCACATAATGTTAATAACGCGTGCAACATGTCCATAATAAGCCAAAAGCAAATATTCAAGTATTTCTGATTAATAAACTGCATATTTAACTATTTTTTTAATATCATAAATAAATAAATCCATGTTCCCCAGATAAAAAAAAAATGTCATGTTTTACTTGGTGAATGTCTCCTTTTAGATTTGTACTCAAATCTGCACTGAGTGTACCCACACACTCATCATGTCTTTAAAAACAAAGTTTCAACACCTTCAGAAAACAAAACAATAAAAAAAAAAAAAATCACCTATGGTGTAAAAGTATTACCCGCCTACATTTATTCCCACTGAACCACAGAGGTGAGGTATCACTCAGGCCACATCTGCAGATCCAAACATTGTTGAATCCCACATGAGTGTCCCATTAGAGTGTGTTTCAACTCAGCGGATACCACAGCGGTGTCACTAACTCTCTGGGAGTTGTCATGACGCAGATTAAAAAGCCTCAACAAAGAGTCCCTGTGTGTCTGCATCTGTCAGAGTCCACTTATTACACACACACACAAACACGCTCGCACAAACACACTGACAGTAACACAGGCGTTTGTTCAAAGATGATATCGTCAGTGTAGGCAGCTTCTCTGACATACTCACACTGGGCTTTCTGGAGTGTGCGTGCTTCAATGTGGGATTTTGTGTGCGTGCATGTGTAGTGTGCATGTGCATCGACATTTTGTCTGAGATTGTCTCCATAGCAAAGAGCAGAGGCTGCTGGAATCAAGATATTTTTATCAGTTTCATTATTTTGCTTGAGAAATTGAAGTGCATCAAACAGAGATCTTCATTTCTGCACGTCTGTTTATTTTTCAACATATTATAGCACTGAAGAATTAGTTGTTCAGTAGTTGTTGTGTTGTTTTTGAGCATATTGAAGCATTAAGAAGAGTTTGATAATGTGAGGCAAAGCTGCAGCAAACAACAGAGGTAACTCAAAATTTAATTGCTCATCACATTATCAGATTGCAGTCATAATGGAGGTAATTTTTCCTCTCAAAGTCTGAGATGATTTTAGAGATGATGGGTCCAAGATTTCAGATGAAGGATGGTAACAGCGAACAGATGATTTTGAAGAGTCGTATGACTACTGCTGAGGAGTTTTTAACCACTTGTGAAACAGACTGAGAGGAAAAGTGAAAGCTTATAGAAGCAGACTAGACAAATTATGAGGCAGAAAATTTCTTTACTGTGTAATTAATGCCAGAATAAACTTTTGCTTTGGAAGAGGCTGTCTCTATAGGGTGCTGTAAACCATCTTATCTGACACAGTTAAAAATGAAGTCATAGTAATTGTCATTCCTGTCATTAATAACCTTATTTGCCTCTGTAGGTTGTATAAAACCATCACAGTTTCAGAACCAGTCAAGAGTTCCCAACATAACTGCCTTGTGTGTGTAGGCCTGTAGCTATTGCTCTACCTACCTGCTTAATGTTTATGTATGAAAGTCCATGGTTAAAATTATTTTTGAGTATGCAGTAACATAACTAAAACTCTGAGGTTTGTTACAAACCAAACCGTTTGAAAATCGGTTTAAAATTAATCAATCTACGGTTACTAAAATGTTACATGTACCGTAGACTGGAATGTTATGAATGGGCGAGCTGTCTGAAGCAAGATGGCCGCCATGCGCGGACGTCGGTCTCCATAAGCTAACAGCGTGCGTAAGTCATCTAGCGTTTATATTTGTATCTATGGTAATGGCAGCCTTCTCTTCCTTTAGCTCTGGCCTTTCCCTCCACTTCCGGTTAGCCTCGCCCCTCTCCTCACGTTCACACCTGTACAGGTAGGTTAGCAGTTGGCTGCTTGAAATGCTAAGAGATCGATTATCACACTGATTTGTCTGTGATTCGGTTTGTTTTAGATGCGGTGTTGATGGTTTCCAGCTCTCGCCACCGGCGCCGTGCAGAGATGGTCATCGCCGCAACATTTAATACCTGCTCGGTTCGCTTCTCTCCGTCTTGGGGGTCTCTCACGTCGGCCTGTGGACTTCCCGCGGTGCCAAGCTAAAGTAAGTAAACATTACTTCGCTTCGACGCTGCTTTGCTCCTGCTTTGCCTTCTTTTTGCCGTGGTTTTCCCGCCTCTGTGGCTGCGGTTTTTCTGCCTTGCTGCGGCTGTCTGGCTCCTGGTACTCCGCTTCGCTTGCACTGCTGCCTCGCTGTTTTCCTGCTGTCTCTACTCGGACAGCGTTTGAGCTTGAGACTATACAGATTAGGATGTAAACAAAGAACTGGTAACGGGTCCGTATGGCAGTCTGGACCAGACTGTTTTAGTGAGTTAGTGTTGGTGCTGCTGGTTTTACTCAACTGGTCTTCAATCATCTTGTTTTATAGAGTGTCTGGGTTAATTGTGAGACTAACTCTGTTTGATGGTTGTCTTTGTTTTTCTTCTGTTTTCCTCATCTTTGGGTTTTTCCAGTTTCCTGTCCTTGTGTTGTTTGTATGAACTTCTTTTGGGTTAAGTTTGTTTCCGTGAATTACCATTGAATCTTTATTGCTCTTGTATTTAGTCAGTTATCAGTTCAGAGTATTTAATTTCCCAATTCAAGTAGAAATTTGAGTTTTTGCAGTCTGCTTTTGATGTTCAATCTCGACTGCAGAAACTCAAAATTGGTTTTAAATGCACATAAAACCAAACTCACGGTATTTTCGAGCAAGAGTGAGTTACCAGGGAACATTCCCTCTATCCTAACTTCGCAGGGTGTACCCATTGAGTTTGTATCAGTGTATAAATATCTGTGTTTCCTTGTTGATTGCAAGCTTTCTTTCAAAGCACATAATGCCAGTTTGGTCACTAAACTCAGACTATAAATAGGTTAAATCCTGCTTCTCCATCAGTGCTTGAAAATCCCTTGTATCTGCTACCTTTCTTCCACTGTTGGATTATGGTGATGTTGTATATATGACTGCTCCAGCCAAATGCCTGCAGTCCTTAACTGTCTATCACTGTGCGCTGAGATTTGTTACTGGTTGTAGTCGCCGAACACATCATTGCAAACTTTTTGCCAAATCTGGCTGGCCTTCTCTGGGTACACTCACTGGAAGACTCTAGTTTATAAGGTTCTTCTTGGCTTAGCTCCTTCTTTCTTCAAAGAACTGAAAGCCACGACACCCTGCGTTCAAACAACACTGTCCATTTAATTGTTCCGCGAATCAGAACTGAGTTGGATAAAAAAGCATTTTTCAGTTTTGCTGCTACTTCAGAAGGGAATACTCTCCAGACTGACCTGAAATTGTCGGAATGAATTTCGCTGGAAGCATTTCGTTCAATCTTACATGACAGACTTTTGGAGACAATGGAACAACGCCTGTGTTTTTAATTTCTGTTTCTGGAGGTCATTTTCTTCGTCTTCGGTTAAATAAAAAACTATGGGTTGGGGCCATTCTGTTTTGTTGCTCAGGTTTAATTGTTTTGACTGCCTTGTCTGATTGGTTCGTTATTTGGTTTCTGTAATTACATTGTTTAATTAAAGTTTGACATTATTTGGGTTTGTTCATTTCCTTTGAGTGTGAGCCCACTAAATCTTGTTTGTGTCCTTTTTCAGTTGCTGAGAGTCAACGGTGGTGGTCCCTGGTGTCCTGGTGGTGGTTTCCCCCTTTTATAGTGTGCTGTGTGTCCCCAGTCTTTCGTTGTTGCACTGTGTGAATTTTAGTATTTTAGTGATTGTCACGTTATTTGGTGCCCTCCTTCCCTGAGATCCCCCTCACTTCTTTGGTAAGACCCAGCCCTGAAAAAGGTTCCTCCTTCCCTGTGTGGGTGTGATATTTTTTATTCAGAATTTTTAGGTAGATTGTTTAAATAAAGGATTTCTATTCCTTCTTTAAAGTTGAACCATGTCTCTTGCTTCTGTGAAAGGTAGAACAAACCTGAGTGCCTTTACAATTCCCCTCAAAAATGATTCCTTGGGCGAAATTCCCAAGGTGGCGTTGTTGGTTTGAAATCATCTAAAAACCAAATCTTACACCAAATTAAAGTCTTCTTTTTCACCCCTCAAGTTGCCACAATCGTTGTCGAGGTTCATCTCCCAGTTGATCTACAAGGTCATGTACCAAAACAACCGGCTAACAGGTCGTACGTATGATAAAAACACCGTCACTTTGACGGCTGTATGTCTATCGTATGACACATTTTCATCTTTTTTGACATCCTTTCCTCCTCTGTCAGGGTTTGATTCACCTCCTAGCAGCACATTTTTGCTTTTCAGCTCCCAGGTCAAAGCTCAGCATGCAAACAAACTCTGAAACCATCACAGTTTGGCTCAGGCCAGTTTCAGTCTGATGGAGGCGTACATATGGATGAGAAAATCAGTCCCCGAGAGCATTATTCAAGCCTCTTAGTCCGACCTTTGAGAAGTTCAATTTAGCGCTAGTGTTTTCCAGTTTCAGTCGGACTGATGCGATAAATTTGACTTCTTAAACACCAGGTAACGACTAATAAGACTTACGCCAACACACTCAGAAGTTGGACATGCTAATGACATCAGCTGATTAATAAGTCCAAGTTTCTTTCCTGACTGAAAAAAGCTCTTGGTAGGGGAGATTTGGTCAAGTACAACTTTTCTTTCTTTCCTTTTTTCTTTCTTACTTTTGTGCTGATAGATATTTTTCTTCTGCATATGTTCAATAAATGCCATCTGGATCTCACCTCCTGCTTCAGAGTCTGTACTGAGAACTAAAAAGGATTTCACGACATATGACTCACACATTGTTCTTTTAAAAGCGTGCAATCCTGCACAATTATTAGAACAACCCTGTTACATGTTATTTTCTCGCAAGTTTGCCTGGTTGTCTTTCATAAAGGTAGAAGTGATAGATGTTGTCCTGCCTTTCTCGGTGTATTCAAATCAAGTCAGATTGACCGAAGCTCAAGTAGTGAACATGCAATTTTCTCTCTAAGGCACAGACAATACAGATGCCTCTCTTTCAATCATGCTTACTCTACTGTACAGGAGTGACTCTCTCCTTTTTGCTCCTCTTGGTCGTTGCAAGAGTCAATCACTCCACATTCGAGCCACCAGCAATCTCATCCTCTTTATTACCCTGTGAATCCAGACTGCAGGGGAAAAAACAGTCAAATAACCTCTGTTAGACGGACTTGGTTCATGTTGACGCTGGGTTTGGATATAATCAGTGTGGGAAAATAAAAATCAAACATCTTTTCTGTGCAGAATGGGGCTCATCTTAGACTGAGGGAAAGCTCCCATTCAGATATCGATTGGTGTGTTCGGCTTGTAATAAGGTTACATTTGGAGGACGGGTGGTGCTGTCTGTTATTTATTGTTATACCAAAGATGGAGGTTGTTAAGTATAGCTGCGAAACATTTGTCTGAGCTGCGTAATAGCACGCCGAGGCGAGGGGGAACATAAAGTAATCAATGTGAGACGCACGCCCAAGAAACACCCATTTTATTAAAGCTATTTTCTCCTCATTAGTTACAGATACAGTTTGGACATGGGTCGAGCGGTATTAAGTGTTGTTAAGTGTGTAAGTGGATGAGTCGAAGACAAATAAAGCAGTTAGGTGTGTAAAGTAGCATGTAGTGCATCAGGTATTTAAGGCTTGGATACAAGAGCTCTAGGCAGGTTTTTTTTTTTTTTTTTATCACCATGGAAACTGAATTCCTCACAGGGGAACACATTTCAGTACATCGAGCATGGTCCAGATGTGATGCTCCAGCAGACTATCATGCATCTTTCATGTAACCATGTTCTTCTCATCAAAGACACGGGCAGCGTCGGCTTAACTACACGCCTGTTATTGTCAGGGGGTCCGCTTCTCCACTGATGGGAACCATGTATTCATAAATTCAGTCTTGTGTTTTTTATTTTTTTTATCAAAAAGCAGGTCTCAGTGTCAATTTGTCCTCCTCTGTTTCACCTCTTGCACCCTTTTAAAGAGGATTCACACTGTTTTTCCCCTATCTGTCCACGCTGGTCTCTGCCAGCCGGTTATTCATGATGCCAAGGGCGCCAACCCCTCCTGAGAATCCGTTCTGGTGTGAACTGGAGCTGGACTGGCGCGGGTGCCCAATAGCCATCTCGGAAAGCTGCTTCTGCATAATAGCCAGGTTCACCTGCAGGGATGAGAGGGATATGTTTGAAGCACAGTTTATGCAAATAGTAAGAGAAGAAGGGAGACAATGTGTTGTAGTCGTCTTAGGTGTGATCTAAGGCCACCATATGGTGTTTTTCTTCTGCTTGAACAAAGCTAGGAACAAAGACAACAAACACTGACTGAGTGTGACAGACTGGGGCCAGGTATTTATGCTCCCACACATCCAATCTCCGAAGCAATTTGTGGAGAAAGTAGGCGACGTGATGTGCAGAACTGTGTTTAAGGCACATTAAGTCTATTAGTAGTACAGGTCACAACATGACTAAAGGAACATATATATATTCTCGATGTTGCATTATGCATATTCAGTTATGTGTAAACAGATGAAGCGATGTTTGAGGTATTCCCTTTATTCAATAAGCAGTTAAATGCATTTCAAGTTCATGTAAAGCAAATTCTTACCAGCATCTTGAATTTTGAATAACAGGAATGAAATAAAACAGACATTATATTCTTGATTTTTAGATTTACTTTACCAATGAGTGCTGTACTGCTGCAACAGTGTCGTTTATAACCATGAATTAGAGATAAATAAAGTATTGTGTTCGTCAACTCATCCATCTACGAGGTTTTCTGAGTCAAATGTGAATGAGTGAAGCACAGTGGTTTGGTCATTTTTCATCAGGGCAGCAGCAGGAAACAGGAATTAATCACATCGCAAATAAAGCAACACTGCTGACGGCCTGAAAACTCCTCTGAGGATGATTTTCAGAACCTCTATTTTTTTTCTCACCATCATCAGGACAAAACTCGACAGACTCATTTTGGTTCATGACCAAACGTCAGAAAAATACAGCAGCTCCAAGTCTTCTTTGCTTCTTCTTATGTAGCCAAGTTTTTCAATCAGAACATTGAAAACTGAAAATGATCGCAGGAAGATAAACAGGTGTGACTGTGATAAAAATAAGGAGGAAAACTAGAATTACCGCAGTCGAAAACTCTCACTAATTAAATCAGGCTGTGTATAGCAAATGGCCAAAACCCCATATGTAGTAACTCAGTCTCATACTGCTCCAGTTTGGTGTCTAAGTCCTAACAAAGAAGTCCACGACATGAAAAAACGCACCGACGGGAAGGTGCGACAAAGAAGTAAAATAAAGTTTATTGTTCTTCTCAAAATAATGCGTATCAGTGATATTTAAAACTTAGGAAATTGAGTTTCGTACTGTTCGTGCATCAGCTTATTGTCCTCAAAGGCCACCGTCACGTCTTTAATGGGAGGAGTAAGTAAGGTAGCATTTAATCTTTATTAGCCATGTTTACGTGGGCAAAATTTCTTGATCCGATTTAAATTTTGCCGGATCGAATAATAACCAAAGGCTTAAAACCTTGACTGAGAGAGTCACGATCGGAATGAGTGTTTACATGGACGCGTTTCGGAATAACGATCGGCATAAACCACCCCTCTCGATCGGAATGTAATTTCTTTCCTATTGAGCCGATTGATCAGAATCTTCTGATCAACATGGCACATTTTTATTCCGTTTGCGCCTTTATTCCGATTATTTGTGCCCATGTAAACGCAGCTAATGACACTGCTAATCACTCCTATTTCCTGCAGACTACACCTTTAATATTAACATCAATATTTTCTCATTAGATGCTTAAATATTGTAGGTGTTTTGTTGATTTGCAAGCTGTCATCAGCTACTGAACAACCCTTTAAAGAATAACAAATACCTGAGCTGCCATGTTTGATTTAAAGTCGATCTATAAGGGTTATTGAGGGTCTTTTGTATTAAAACAACACAGGAAATATGTGCTGGAGGGTCGCTAAGTGTTGGCTCCTTAAACCTAAAGAGAGATACTGAAGTAATGCTGAGTCATGTTTAATCTCCGCCCAGAAAGTCTTTTAATTGCATGATGTGTTGGCATCAGAGCGCCCAGACCGCAGTGTTATTATATCAGAGAATTTCACTTTTCTCTGTCGATTGAACCATCCGACTTCATCTTCAGCGTCTGAACTGCTCACCTGCACAATAATATCTCTAACCATGAGTCAGTGTTTGGAGAGGGGTGACTGGTATTAAAGAAATGCTTTATTTTGTAATGTTCGGCTGATCCTGACTGAAAATGTGCAGCAGTGACAAACTTGCTGTTGCGTCCTTGCAGCCTTCCCTCCTTTTTCCTTCCCTCCTGAACGCGCACATGTCCAAATCTCAGACATAACCACTTCATCATCTTCAAGCAAATCTGTGATAATGAAAAAATATGAACCATCCGTTCTACGCCATCACTTCATTCAGCCGAGACCTTCGTGCTCTTTAATCAGAATGATAATTAGGTGTGAAAATTCAGATCTTGTTTTGAATCGGAGAAATCTTGGACGGCGAGAGAGCGTGCTTTTGGCATTCAGCTGCTCACAATGCTCAACCCTCTCGTCTCTGAAAAGTAGGCTAGCTGTTATGGAAATATATGGACAACTGATGCCTTTAAGTGGCTACAAGTGCCGCTGAGGCGATGATGGCAATGAGCAGCATCATTGTTATTCTGAGGCATTTGTCACAAAATATGTGAGTGGACCGGGAAACAGCAACAAATACAACCTACTGCAGAGATGATCATGTGGACGGTATACTGACGGCCGTTATTATAGTATGAAAACAAAATCAAAACACAGTTCATGAAAGAAATTCAGTCCCTTTAAGTGTGAGAAATTTCCATATCAATATAAATTCATCTGATTGGTTAAGACAGGTATCGCGCTGAAATCCTGATCAATGATTGGCTAAGGTTTAGATGATGTATGTGTGGCATTATTTTTTATACACAGAAATACTGCATTGGATGATGAAGAAGGAGATAGTAGATGATATTAAGCGTCCACATGTAATGCGGCCACCCCTACCCATTTTAGTGCCCCAGCAGGGCCACCCCGATCTAACAGGTTTGGACACACCCCTGCACTGAGAACCTTATTGCTTTAAAGTGTTGCGCATCATTTAAGGTCTATTTGAGTCAGCTGATCGGCAACAGTTTAAGGGTTATCAGATTTTTCAGTCACAAAATTCACTTATTTGATGTTTGAGTATGATTACCTTGGGTTTGCAATGCTGTCATTTTCACCGGGCTCCAATTTGATCATTTCTTTTTCATTGGTCTCTCAATCTTGCTACAATCTCTATCTCCTGAGTTAAAACTGGTGGCATCTCCTTTGTGTCACTTTTGAACAGTGCAACAGTAATCCACCTGCAGCACACCTCCAAAACAAGTGAGTAGAGTAGTTTGTAATGTACAAATGCGGTTTTCCAGAGAATTTTACTTTCTTTAAACTGTTAAAGTAGAGCTATAGATAATACTTGATTAGGCCATTTAACTGGACTACTGCATAACTGACAGAAGCGTTTCCTCCTCTGCTAGGATAGGTGGCGACATGCTCTCTTTCAGCTTGTAACTGGCGGGTCGTCTCCCCGTTGGCGTTACCTATCAAAACTTTACAGCTATGCGTCAAAGACAAAAATTTTGGTCTTTATTTACATCCCTTCTTCATCTAACAAGGTTTTGTTGACTCACTGGATTCCTAGCAGTGTATCAATGCTATTCAATGGAGCAGGAGAATTTGATTAAAGCATATACATGTCAGGAAAAATCAATCTCCAACCAGTGTATCCAGGTATGTTAGTCTGACTATAAGACGTTTGATTTCAGTGCTTTTATTTTGAAAAGCACCCTATAATTGTTGACTTATTTTTTATTTTATCACTGAGATGTTTCTAGTTGTAGACATGAATATTCTGATTGATATTAAGATTGATAAACAGTCTGTTTTGTACAAAAGAGGATTAGGGCCACAAAAAGAGAAAAAAATAATTACAGGAGGGAGATTTTTTGTAATTTCTATTTCCAGATTGAAGTTGAGATTTTGAGATTAAAGTAGAAATTTTAATAGGATGAAATTTTGACTGTATTAGTGTCGACTTTTATCTCAGAATTTGGGCTTTAATCTTAAAATTTTAGTTTTTCTAATCTCGAATTTCTACATTATTCATGACATTTTGTAATCTCAAAATTTCAACTTTAATCTTGAAATTTTAATTTTTAATCTCGAAATTTTGACTCTATTTATGTCGACGTTGATCTTGAAATTTTGACTTTATTCACGTAATTTTGAATTTTTTAATCTCGAAATTTCAACTTTAGTCTCAAAATTTAGATTTTTTAAAATTTCAGCATTAATCTTGTATTGGAAATTTTAAAAAAACTCCCTTTTGTAATTATTTTTTCTTTTCATTTGGCCCCCATCCTCTAGTTTTGGCGGAGTGAAGCACATGGCTCTCGGTGAAGATTAGCGAGCCATCTATTTTCCTGATTCTTGCCAAGAGTCTGAAAGCCCTGACTTTTGAAAAACAAGCCCGGTTCTGATTTCAGCTTTCCAATATCAATGAATATTCACTGTTTGAATTCAAACCCTGAATATTAGTCCAGCAGCCCTCATCAACGATGGGCTTGGCAATCTTTTTCAGTCCTCCAACAATGACAGAAAGTTTCAAACATCCACCCAAATTGTGTGGCAACTTTTCAAAAAGGCTGCCTTAACACCTGGTATTTCAGGTTACACTGACCACAGAGAAAAAGAAAAGCTGAAAGCTGAAAGGACTGCCAAATGATTTTCTCCAGAAGCAGGATTTCTGCTTCTTACTTTGATTCTGACATTGTCCACTCAGCCGTGCTGTTATTGGCTGCACTCAGCTGTTTGTCACATGTGCTGTTGCTGTATGTATATGGAGTCGAGCAGGTGTTCATCAAAGCACCACATAGTCCTGAGAAATGGTCCTAACGGGAAAATAAGCAGTTTTATCTGGTTTTCTATTCAACTTTGTTTCAGATTGTATTTTATTCGATTAAATATACATACAGTACAATTTTAGATGAGGAATTCCCTATTTTTTTGGAGATCGAAAAGGAGTAGAATGAAGCTATTTAGCTTATATGTACCTACCCTCATTCATTCCTATTCATTTCCTATCCATACCTATATGCACTTTATATACATATTTATATATATATATATATATATATATATATATATATATATATATATATATATACCTAGAATACTTCAAATCTCTCGTGTACCATACCCATAAACAATATAGTAAGTGTAGCATAACGAAAATCACTTTTGTATGTATTTTTCAATCATACTCTGCTTTAATTACTGTGGTACGAACTAGGGCCTGACCGATTTATTGGCAACCGATTAAATCGGACAATTTTAGCCGGTTTTAGACTATTTGGTAATCGGCCAAAACTCGCCGATTTTCGCCGATTTTTTATTTAGAAATAAAATGCAGAGAATAAAATTCGGTTTCACTACGAAAATGTTCCACCATTTGAAAATTTCCCCGACTTATCCTGTAGATGGCGCAGCGACCTCGTGATAATCTTCTTCCACTAACTTCCTCACAATACAGCAGAGTGACGGATCTGAAGCAGGCAGCTCAGGGATGCACAGAGGAGAGTGGTCCGCCTCAACGGTGAATAAACCAGTTTGTGAAATACACAATAAGTCGACAAGTTTCAGTTCAACCCACTTCAACATGTTCCCCACTGTGCTGGTCTCGGTCAGAAATTTTACACGTCATTTATATATATTCTGAATAATTTTGGTCCCAGCATTGTTTCATGAGGATTGCACAGAGGCTGTTTAACCTGTACGTAGACACGGATTCATGAGAAATACACAGAATATCACTGAGATGATCAGTCAGTCTTCCTGACTGTCAAAGGTTGATTAATCGGCATCGGCCCCAAAAAATCTGTATCGGTCGGGCCCTAATAAAAATATTAGTTTCATCAGCAAAAATAGCAAATTTTAATACACCAGAAATTTAACATGTCATTTCTATATAATATAAATAATTTTGGTCCCAGCATTGTTTCATGAGGATTGCACAGAGGCTGTTTAACCTGTACGTCACGGTTCATAAGAAGTCCTGCACTGACAGGAAAACTGCAATAGATCAATTAAATTCAATCCAGCTGACGATGAGTGGGATGAAATGGGTCAGATTGAATAAAGAGTTAATGAATCTGGTCGACATGACTACAGGGAAACAAGATTATTGACCAATTGTTCTTCCTGCTACTCATCTGAGCGCCTAATCTAATTCCTCTTGGAGATAAGTGGATATCTCACTCGTAATAATACGCATGATCGTATTAAACAGGTGGAAAGTCTCGCGGGCCGCTCCTGCCCTGAAGCTCTCACCTTATTGGCTGCTAGAAAGTCCCTCATGGAGATCATTTCCCCAGACATCCTGCGTCCGGTGTCAGTCTCGCTCTCATTGATGGCGTCTGTCTCGATGGAGGGGTCCCTGCGGGCGCGCAAGTGACCCGGAGCCACCACGTTTCGTCTGGGGTGCCTGTGCGGGTGGTGGCCCCTTCTGGGGAAGCAGCAGCGGCACGGGGTCTCCAGCCGCCTCAGCAGCCAGTTGAGGACCTGCTTGATGACGATGGAGATGACGTTGAAGAGGGAATAGATGCAGCAGACGCCCGTCAGGATGAAGAGGAAGTTGCCGAGACGATACGCAGTGGTGGCATGGCCCTCGTAGACGACCCTCTGGCTGCTTACCATGTCGCCGAAACCGATAGTACTGAAGGCCACAAAGCAGAAGTAAAGCGAGTCCAGGTAGCCCCACCCCTCGGCTGCAGAGTACATGAGCGAGGCGCAGCAGGAAACCAAGATGGCTGCGACTCCTAAAATGAGCATGACGCAGTAAACCGAAGGCTTCCAACCGGCCAGATCGGCTCCTTTCCCTCCTCCGTTTCCCCCGCCTGCGCCCGCTCTGTTCCCCTCAGAGGTCCGTCGACCATTTTGCGGGAGAACGGCTTTGTTGTGGCGTCGCTCGTAACAGGACTTGAGTACGACGGCGATGACGGTGATGACGCGCTCCAGGAAAAGGTTGAAGAAGAGGATGGTCGCCGCACAGCCGAGGAGGCCGTAGAACATCAGAAAGACTTTTCCTCCGATGGTCGCCGGCGTGGTCATCCCAAACCCTGAATTACATTAAAAAACAGAAATTCAAGTTGAGCGACATGATCAAATTATGATGCATCTATGAAAAGCCGAGCCTGAATCCTCCTTTTCATCCTGCAGGATCTAAAAGCACATCAGTAATAAAGAAGTATTCGCATAAAAGCATTACCTTCACCAGAGAAACGCTTCGACTCGGCGCTTTCAGTGTCTCTTAAATGCATTTACAAATCAAACACAGAGCTTTTAGCCAATGAATGCATCATTTAAAGAGAAGATAAGAGAGGCCATCGCTCACAGCTGCTCTGAATTGGCTTTTAAACTAAACCCACTTTCTCTCTGACATGAATATAGATTCTGTATACTGCACTCATACCACTGCCTCAATCTACTGGGTTGCTATTGGTGACACTCTCTCTATCTCTCTAGCCGTCTCTTTTTTTATCTTTCTTTTTCTGGAGGAGTTCAGGAGTTTTTAGGCGAAGCACATCTCTGAAGTCTCTACAGTCATCTCCGTTTATGATAAGTGGACTTTATTTGTTAATGCTTGGATTGTATGTGTTTTTGACTTTAGTACGACGAGGACCCGTCTGCATGTGACTTCTTTTTCTCTTGTGAACTGGGGCTGCTATGGTATCAGATTTTCACCTCATGATTTTGGCTGTAAAATATCAAGATAACTGGAGCAAAATAAATCCAAAACAAGGGTGGAGCAACATAATATATATGTGCAAAGATATAAGTCCATAGATTTGACTGATAATCACAATCATCTTGATCTTAGTTGAGAGTGTTGGTAACGCTTTACTTGACGCTAGTGATTGGCATGGCGGTTCTTTTAGATGTAGCGAATCACTAGAATCAGTTCACTAAAAAGATTTGTTCAGAAGATTCGTTCACCAAATCACCGAATCATTTAGCGGGAGAAGCCTGCGACTCCGACCTCCTGAACTGATACAGAGCTGAACGGTTCAGGATTCAGTTCAGCTCATAGCTTCTGGGACCGGGAGTCGAGAGAGTTTGGTTGAGTTGATTTGGCAAAAACAGGTTTGTAAAAATGAACTTGTTTATAAGCCATGATATTTTAAGTGTATTGTCCTATGGTATGCTATTTACCAGGTCTGCTCGGTAAGTTGCGCTCACTGAACGTTTAGAAGAATTCACACTGAACATGCACCGTTCCCTCGCAAACCGCTGCAAAGATAGGATACTGCAGGTTTAATGCACTACTTGTTACATGCTGTGTCCTATTGTATGAAAGTTGTTGTGGTGGCAATTTAGCAGTGAGAAAAAAAAAATTAGTTTTGTCCAACAAAAATGATTCCAGAGAGTGAAGTTCAATGCATGATTCGTTCACCAAGTGATTCAGTCGTCAGTGCATGTGGTCCCTCGTTCGCCAGCTGCTCGATTAACAATGCTGTTTCTCACTTCAGAACGAACGAATCATTCGAGGTAGTGATTCGGTTCAGTACGTTCACTTAAAAGATTCGGTTCTTTTGAACGAATCGTTCGCAAATGACACAACACTACTTGATGCCTATCTCTATAACACATTATAAATTTATATGTGTAATGGATTATAATCACGTTAGAATAGAATAGACCAGAATAGAATTCAACTTTATTGTGATTGCACATGTCACAAGAACAGAGCAACGAAATATAGATATAGAAATGGTTTTCTGATCCGAGTTTGATCAGTCGGTCTTCCTGTCGGCGTGAAGAACAGTAGCCTACAGTAAATTTATATTTTTCATAACTTCATAAAAAATTATTAAAAATCGGCCAATTGATCGGTAATCGGATTCCCCCCCCAATAATCTATATCGGCCCCAAAAAATCCATATCAATCGGGCCCTACAATATGATCATTTATGAGTGTTTATAACTATAGTTATACAGTGCTATAACATGATTATAATTATATTATAGTTATAATGCATTACACATATATTTATAATGCGTTATAGAGGTAGGCGTCAAATGAAGTGTAAACCAAGTGTTTATTCAAAGTGCTCCATCATCTCTGAGAGACCCACTTTCACTCAGTTTACAGGCAGTCTGCTGCTTTTTCTTTGTTTCGCCTACGTGTGGCCACCAGCCTAAATAATCGCAGCTACTCCTGTTTGATTATTTTTAGCACAATGTTGATATTCAATATTTCAGTAAATACCAGTTAATTGCGAAAGGACCTTTAGTTGATCGAGGGTGATCCAATCTCAAGCTGACAGCCCGCCAATTTAAGGTGCGGACTCCCCACGATGCATTAAGCAGGTATTTAAATTGGCTGTCTCTCAGATCAGGGGCTTAAATGTGTACACTAATTATCACAGTTAGTATTCAAAGAGGTTTTTTTATTCTTTTTATCCTCCTCATTGATTAACTTCAGAGGAAGAGCAGGATTCGTGATCAAAGACGTTAATACAACTTTCCTTATTAATAAGACCTCCCTTTGCGCTGCGAGGGTGCGTCACAGTCTTAGAAACGGATGTTTTTTATGACGAAAATGATGACTGCATATTTGCATAAAGGGCAAAGGATTACGGCGGACTGCAGTGGTCAGCTGTGACGTACGTGCCGCGCCATGATCCGAGGTGTGAGGTGACAAACTCAGAGGTGAACACTTGTAATCGGACCACCCTAGATGAACGTTAATGAGAGATGCAAATGAGGCAAAAGCGAAAGGTCTCTCTCTCTCAACTGCACTAATCTCCACCATCCTTTTCATCCTCCATTGAGCGCTCGAAGCTCATTCAGACGCCGTCTCTGTCTGATATTCCTTTTAGAGTTTTCAGCTGAATTGTGTGTGATTGTGAATATTGTCGAATTCAAGGATTGAAAAAAAAATGAGACTCGTTTTCATTTCACTTGCAAAACAAAAACGAATGTTACCATATTTTGTGTCCTGAGAAAACACATTATGCAGATTGACTAACTGCCACTGTGCAGAGGCAGGCTTCTTGTGGAGGATTTGATTGCCTCCACATTCAGAGTTGTTCTCAAGGTGCTAATTGGGCGTCAAAGTTTTATTTCAAGCACGACAATAAAGCCAAATGAGCTGGATTTTATCCGCGCGGTTTGGCTTTCCTTCTCGTTCCGTTTGCTCGCAATGTGACCTCGTTGTGTCATTTGATCTGTTTAATAAAATAAAGCTTTTGAGAAAGAAAGGCGAGAGAATAATGTTTGAATTTGTGAGTTTGACGTCCAAGTGGGGCTGACGGTTCAGCATAAAAGCTTTGAGCACGGCTGGTTGTGTGACACTGTTGTGACTTTATTGAGAAAGTATGTCAGCTTTTGCTTTTCCTCCTATAGTTGATCTTTTACATCACATATCCAAACAATTGACAAACAAGTTAGCAAGAGGCTAACTGATTAGAAGTCAGGTGGGAAAAATACCGCCAACTTTTCCATCCTGGGTGATTTGCTTTGCATAACTTAACTATTAAATGCAATTCACTTGCATTTCGTCACCTATTTCTAATTACATTCAACTTTATGATTCATCTTGTTGCGCTTTTAATTTGAAATTTTTTGTCCTGCTTTAGGTTGCTTTGTATCCCGCTCTGCTTTTATTTTGAAGTATGCGATTTTTGGCAGATGAAAACAGTAAAAAGGACAAAGAGAAAGTATGTCAGTCTTTGCTTTTCCTGTTATAGTTGACAAACAAGTTAGCAAGAGGCTAACTGATCGGAAGTCAGGTGGGGAAAACACCACCAGCTTCTCCATCTTAGGTTATTTGCTTTGCATATTTATGGAAAACTTGAGGAAACACAAGACAAGGGTGGAGCAACACATTAATTTAATAACTTTATAGTTAAATGCAATTAACTTTCATGACATCATCTATTTCTAATTATATTCAACTTTATGATTCATCTTGTCATGCTTTTAATTTGAAATTTTTTGTCCTGCTTTAGGTTCTTTTGTGTCCCAGTCTGCTTTTGCTTTGAATTATGCAATTTTTGCCAAATAACAAATGAGGGGAATTAATGAAAACAGTAAAAAGGACAAAGAGAAAGTAGAGATATGAAGATTTGCTCAAGTAGAAGTGATGGTCGAGCCAACAGAAAATATAATACAAATGTTTTACAGATGGGTTTTCTAATGAAACGCTTTCAACAGCTGTCAATGCCTAAGCCTATTTGGACACACATATAATGTCTGCTCAGGTTGTGCTTCATATTCACACCTGACAGAGTGAGCACATGGTTCACGAGTTGTAAACAGTGACCCTTGACATCCCATCATGACTCTATCTTCTATCTGACTCTAGCTCACAGATTTGCACACTGACTCATTTCAACTCTTTAACAAAACACGTCAGAAATTTCTAAACTGACCTTAAACATGCGCAGAGCCATAGAAAGATGCAGCGATTCCTAGTTGGAAAGAAAAAAAAACATCTTTTCACTTCTTATTAAAGGTCAGTGAACCAGATGCTTTCACCAATGCTCAGCTTTTGCTATAAAAACCAAACCGACTTTCGCAGCGATCCAAGCCGCAGCTCACCTAAATGGACTTTCACTTCCACTGCGAAGGTTTCCAAAAACTACCAGAACTCCAAGAAAGGAAAAAAACAACCTTTGTGTCCAACTCTAAGGAGAAGACCGAGAATGACGGTAATCTACACGCTGTGTTATTGTCCCATTGTGGTTTTCTTCCGTATGTATAACAGCGTGTATGACGGTGGAATTCCAATTTACATGTGTATATGTTCTGACCGTGCCTTTGAGAAACATCTCCATTATCATGAGCTACAGCTCTGTTTCCAGCTCTGACGCACGCAGCTTCGCTCTTGAAGCTGCAGAATGATGAGAAGAAATGATCAAGAAGATCATACTCTCAAAATCAAATGTAACGTGATGGATCACGAAGCCAAATTGAGTGAAATCTGGATGCTTTCTTTTTCAATGACGATGCAATGACGTCTCTCTTCCAGTGGGGACCTAAACACGAGGTCTTCTGCGTGCATATGTTCTGACTTCACCTTAAAAGAGCAGCTCTATTATCCTCTCACACGCGCATATCCAAACTCTGACTCACACAGGTCACTCTCTGGAGGACCCATTATCAGAATGAGCCTCTGATGGGATCTAAAGAAAGCCTGTGTCTGCTTTTCAAAACAGAGGTGACAGGAGGACGGACGTTTGTTTAATAGAGCAAGTCACGATGATGGCTCCTCTATTCAATTTGCGTTAATATTAGCCTCAAACAGCGCCACGGTCGGTGATCGTCTGCATCCTTCTAAGCGTTTACAACTCTGTCAGCAGTCTCAGGAGATTATTTGAGGTTTGGAAGTTGAGATGCACTGGCAAACAATTCCTGCGAGAAAGACACCCTGGCTTCATCACCGCCACTCTCATTTCACTGGCAGACGCATCAGCCGGTCAACTTATCAGTAGTCCAGTCAAGCTGTCAATCACTCTGCAGCAGCTGGCTCTAATCAGAGATGTTGAAAATGGCGCAGGCCGTCGGACACTGACAGGAGGAAAACAGTGACAGAGGTAGGGGGAGTGAAAGCAGGAATCAGGAGTAGGGACAACAAAAGGTTTATTGTCAGTGTGCTGTGTTGGCTCGAGAGAGGACTCTGTGTCTTCTTCACTCTGTCTGCCTCACTGACACAGATTTTTCTAATGCTCTCTGGCAGCTCCGAGCACAGTCGGGCCTCAGATAGCAGAGCTTTGTTCTCAGGGACATTTCTTGCTCTGAAGTAGACCTTAGACTGGCTTTTGTTCGGCGGCGGAGTTTGCAGAACCTAAATTGATATTCAAGTCAAGATTAAGACATTTTTCGCACAGGTGGTGATGGTATTTTGGATCTGAAATGAACTCAAGCATGACTGTAATTTGCAACAGGTGTCTAATTTGGTCCATTTACTTGGACCTGTTAGTGATGGGAAGAACAGTTTTTTTTGACTGGACTGAATCTTTAGAATCCGTTCATTAAAATGATTCGTTCAAAAGATCGTTCACTGAATCAGTCCCCCGTGAGCGACACAACGGCGCTAATCGGGAGTTCATTCATTAAACGAGCCAATCCCCTCCCCTCCCCTGCTGCTGAAGTCACAGCGTCGTTCACTGGGTGGCTCATGTCGTTCATTCGCCAAGTTGTGAAGGAAGAATCACTCCCCTGCCCTGACAAACTCACCTCTCTGTGTGCCACTGACGTTTGCATCGCGAGTGAAACAACACAGCAGCAAGCGGGACACCCGCTAAACGAGCGCAAGTCGTCGTTCTTTTATATCGCCGGATTAAAAATAAATACGCAGTGAACGAACCAGTGCTAGGCAGTTCATGAACGACGCTACGCCACTCCCTCTTCTGTCTGCCTCAAGTTGTCTGGGAATCACGAGACTCTGCCTGCCCACTCGCTGGCTGGCTGTGTGTCGTTCGCCGAAGAGTCAAAGGTGGCAGTTCCACTCCCGACCGGCACGCCACGCTCACGGCTGAGCTCAACTGAACTGAGAAAGGAACGAATCAGATCTTGGAGTGATTCCATTCCTGTCGTCTACTCAGCAGTTCCGTTCTTTTGAATGAATCGTTCATGAACGACACATCGCTACTGCACACGGTTAGTGAACCCTCATATCAGTTCCTTGTATCGAGAAATGGATTTCAGAATGAACTTCGTTTTCTCCACTTTAAGACCCTGTTGTAGTTTTACTTCTTGTCTTCGTCATTGAGGAGTAGAGACATAAAGAATCAGAGGAGGAGGAGCTAAGACCTCCAGGTCGGCCTTGTGTCTCAGCCTCTGTTTCCGCTCGCCCACATCTAGAAATGGTCTGACTCATATTGCATTCAGGTCATGCCCAAGTGCGAACGCAGGCTAGTCCACGTCGGTGACATACAGACCTACATCCTCGTCCTGCTCTAAGATCTAAAACAAGAAAGGCAAGCGCGCAGATGAACCTGGTGACAGATTGTACTTTAATGTCGTGTAAATGGGGGGTTAGTTATGTCAGCTGCTGGTAACGGCACTAGCACACAGCAACAGATGAGGGCTGCAAGGATTTATCTGAAGATACAGAAAAAATTCACTTAAGTGTTTTGATATAGTGACAAATTTATCATTTTAATCAGGAAGTTGATCATTTGCTTCATTAATTTCAGAATTTGCTGCTTTTTGAGACAGTTTTATTGAGACCTAATGAGATTTTCACCTCTTCTGACATTGTGTGGACAAACAACACATCTGTTAAAATATTGTGCATGCAACTGGACTGGGAGTGATATCTAACCTTCAGGAAGTTTTGTCTGATCATTTTTAAAAATGGCACAATAAAGAAAAAGTTAAAGGTGGTTTTGAAGGGATAGTGTCTTAAATTTTTTACCAAATATAAAAACCTGCAAAAACTTGATCACTTTATTGGCCCCAAGACTCTAACAAATGAGAGTTCACACCTGGAGAGTTGGTGTTGTGTAAAATAAAAGTTTTAAGGTTTTAAGGCTTGTTCCCCCTCTCACCTATGGTTGACACCACCGTTCCCACGAAGTAAAAAGCTCCAGTGAAGTCCCATCTCGGTCTGATCGTGTCCACGCGGATCCCCGCCACGTTCGCCTCCTCGTAGCTCCTCAGAAAGTTATTCAGGTCTTTTTTACTCAGGTTATACTTCTGGCTAAAGAGCTCGAACCTCTGCGCCCAGCGCTCCTTCGCCTCTCGCTCCATCGGCTGCTCCAGCGCGGAGAAGACGGCGGCCCCACACAGGAGGTAAATAATGATGAATAATGCCAGCAGGAGGAACCTCGCGTTATCCTCGTTTATAGGACCGGAGCCGCAGCAGCAGCCGTTCCTACATGCCATTATGTCTCTGTTGTCACCGGGGTGCCGCTGCAGAGAGGGACCTGTGGCATGGCGCTCTCGGGAAGAACGCACAGTCCTCGGGAGAAACGTGGGCAAGATGGTTTAATGCAGCGGAAAAGTCCTGCACAGAGGAGGAGAATTGTTCAAACAGGTGATAACTGAGCTGCCCAGGCTGCGGATCGAGCATTTTGACGAGAAGCGTCTACGTGCAGTCCAAGTCTGAACTGTTCCAGATGCGTCCCTCCGCGACCCAACAGTTCATCTCCGCGTCTTTCTCTGTTTCCTCTGTTCTGCTGAGACGCTCGGAGAACAGCAGAGAGACGCGAAGCAACCTGTAGATGCTCGGAGTCGTGCTGTTGCGCTCTTCAGTGCAGCCTCTCCAAAGAAGTCTCCACCCCCGAGCGCGCGTTTTACGCACCGCAGGCAGAGGTCGGACTCACATCTTCTGCTCAATTTAACTTCACATACGCGGTCGAATTTCTGGCTCCTAAAAAGGCGTCATGAAAGTCTGATAATGAGATCCGAACTGTCCCTGAAAATGTCCGAGATGATCCCGGCCGTGGAGGTTTGATTCTGGCAATATTGCGCGCGTTTGCATAGCGAGATCGATACCACTTGACCTTTCTGCTGCTCTGATGAGGGATTCATGCTCCTGCTCGTGCTTACCCGGGGACGGTGTGAGCAAATGTCAAAACTGAGCAACGCTTGGAGATAAATTATTCAGGATCACAGGGACAACAAGAGAGAGCTGTGTCGGTAAAAGTGGGAATTTAACATGTGGACGCGTCTGATGGAACAGCAGCCTTTCTAGGTCACTTTTTAGGTCTTTTAATTGAAAAACGAGGGGAAAATATTAATTTAAAACCTCTAATTAACTGCTTGACTGTAAATAATGTGTATAAATTTTGGATTAATTATGTGCCAAAACTTCTGAAAGGGCAAACCACTTTGAACACTCTTATAAAACTCAAATGCAGAAGCTCCTGTGTGTTATTTGACATCATGTATTTGCAGGTTTGTAAAGTAGTACACAAATCAAAGACATGAAGCCCAGTAATAAATGTTTAACAATCTAGTAATCTGATTATTTCTTCGTTATGATGTGCCGTTCACTGACTAGAAGTCATTTTCAGTGTCCTACATGTGGAATTATTGTTGCGCAACACAACAACCAGCAGCCTATGAATAGCAGCTCATCAATTTGAAGTGCACCTGAGTGTGTGAGTCTCACAACAATAACACAAGATGTCCTTTTAAACTGTGATATATTCTATCAGCAGATTCTTCCAGTGTTTGGAGGAAGATGCCCTTTCTTTCTAGGCCGCCCAAGTTATCTAAAAGCTGCTCTGTATGAAATATTTAAAGATGTTCTTAACATTAATGTAATCGCTTATTAAAACTGACCTTCTAGGAATTTACACAAGTTTTATTCTAACAAAATAATAGTTTAATTATTTAAATCATGCTAATTAAAGTCATGAATCAGCTGAAGGCCAACAACAGCAAATTGCAATAACACTGGGGTGTGAGCGGAGAGAAAAAAGGCTTTATGTAAACAGGAAGAAAAAAAAGGAACATTTACATTCAGTTCATGGCCGATTTTATAAACTGGATCAAATCCAGAGAGCACAACAAAGTATTGATTTTCCTCTGGTAATCAATTAAAGATGGATGTTGACCAGAGAGTTGTTTCTCCTCTTCTCCTCACGACTGTTATGAGTCTGAAGTGGTTTTTAATGCCACTGGTTGGAGGTCAATAACGCTATCAGCAAAGGATGCTGAGGAAAAGGGAGAATATTGCTAAAGGAGTTGAGCGGCCCTGACACTTCACCGTAATTAACTAAATCATGCTATAAAACAGTAAGTCACCATTAAATATCTTTTTAAAAAAACGTGTGATAGATAACACAAGATATAAAACAAACAAATAAGTATAGTATAGTACAGTATAGTATAGTATAGTACTGTATAAAATAGTATGGTGTAGTATAGTACGTTATGGTATAGTATACTACAGTACAGTATAGTATAGTGCTGTATAGAATAGTATGGTATAGTATAGCATACCAGTATAGAAGGCCAGTATAGTATAATATAGTATAGTATAGTATAGTGTGCTATAGTATAGTATAGTATAGTATGGTATGGTATAGCATGGTTTATTATGAAGAAGACCAGTTTACAATAGTACGGTATGGTATGGTATAGAATAGTATAGTATAGTATTGTCTAGTACAGTATTGTACAGGATGGTATTGAATAGTATAGTATAGCACAGTATAGTATAGTTCAGTTTAGTACAGTATAGTACAGGATGGTATGGTATGGTATAGTATAGTATAATATAGTATAGTAAAGTACAGTATGGTAAGGCATAGCATGGTTTATCACGAAGAAGACCAGTATACAATAGTATATACGGTATAGTATAGTATAGTATAGTATAGTATAGTATTGTTTGGTACTGTATGCTATGGTATGGTATGGTATAGTACAGGACTGTTAAGTACAGTATGGTTTAGTTTAGAATAGTATAGTATCGTACTGTATAGTATAGTGTGGTATGGTATAGTATAGAACAGGAGAGTGCAGTATAGTATAGTCTAGTATAAAATGAATTCGTATAGTACAGTATAGTCTAGTCTAGTATAGTTTACTGTTTAGTGTAGTTCAGTATTATGTAGTATAGCATAATATATTTTGTTCTAGTACAATGAAGTATAGATAAGTTTTGTTCAGATCAGTATAGTGTCATGTAGAGTTCTTCTCTATGTTAAAGTATATCACACTCACTCCTGCATGAAAATGGCATCTCCATCATGAAATGGTTCCTTTTCCTGTCACTTTGGCTCTAGCAGATTCTCGGTTGTTAATTCCCCCATGTTTGTGGACTGGATATTTGTGATGGTGATGATGGCATCCACGTATGATGGTTGAATCTGAAGCCCATCAGCAGCATGCTTTCCCATAATTATTCCAATTTTTTTTCCAAGATTTTGAATTCAAATATAATTTTGTCCTTTCCAAAGAAGTTGATTTCTTTTTTCTTTTACTAATTTTTTTCTGCTTTTACTCCATTTGTAGCAAAGTACAACTAATAGCCATCTGCGTGGCATATGAATGTCGGATTAATCTTGCACTCTGCTCATATTTCATCAAGCAGCAGGGAGATTATCGGGCTGTGGGTCTTTGATTTAAATTATAGACTACTGTTACATTTCTAAAGGTTTCACTCTGATAGGGATTGGTTCATTTTGAATCTTTCATTAGAGGTTTATAACTCAGTTATTGTACACGTACACTATTCCTCACTGAAAAGATCCAATTAGCATTTTGTGTCCACTTTTTCAGCTAAAAAAAGCAGTATGAAATGCAAACACTGTTATTACCAGGAGTGCATTAATGTTAGTGCTGACATGTCCATTACAGGTCATTTGTTAGGACAGAGTTTTGACGTTCACAGGCATGAGGGTGGGAGTGATCATGTCATCTGCTTTCTCCAGAATGACAGCGACACATATATAAGCCCTGCCTGTACATGTGACTGAAGTGTAGTCACCCAGTTCATTTATGGCCTCATCTCAATGATGATCTTCCAGTTCACTTATTTTTTATCTTCTCCACATTCAAATGCATGATTTAAAAATGCAATTAATTAAACAGTGCTGTAACGAGTTCTCACTATTGATATTATAGCTTTATTATCGCAGGAAAACAGTTTGTAAGTGTGCATGGAGTTACAAGAAAGCTTACACAGATCTACATAACTACACAAACATCCATATATGTGGAAAAGATAATAGATGGCTGAGGGTGTTTGCAGCTTTAAAGCCTTTGCGGTTTTGCAAAATGCAGAAAAAATCATTCCATTCAAAACATTCTTTCTATTATTGTGCCGCCACTTTTATTGACCATGCTTTTCTCATTTAGGCTCTCTGTAAAGTTAGCCCTGACTCCATTGTTTGCAAATAGTTTAATGATTATCCTTCAGGCAGACACCAATGTATGAAAATGAGCAATGTTCAATCAGAGCTTAGACTATCAACGAGAGGTTTTCCACAAAGATCGTTTCTTGGGTCTGCTTTATTTACCGTCTTTATCAATAACAATGTCTCCTAAAGAATTAGCAGCAATATCCCTCTTTATGCAGACGACACTGTTCTATTTTACTCTGCTGACTCTCCCTAACTTGCCGTTGAGAAATTACAATTCTGTTTTAATCCTGTACAAAGTGCATGCATGAGTCTTAACCTGGTACTTAAAGGGATATTCCTGTGTAAAATCAAACAGGGTCAAACACACTGAAACACCAAATTCGAGAGGTGAATATTGCCGACCGCTTGCATCTCTAATTATACCAACTTGAGTAACGACCGAAACGCCACTCTATAGCCACACATAATGCTCAGAACAGCACCTAACTTCATCAACAGGACATATAGGGTCCTAGCCACCAAACATCTTTTTAGCTTTGCCTGATTTCTTTAGCAAAGAGACTAAATACAACTCACCTACTCTCTTCCAGCAGCCGCTTGTTTGTAGCGAGTCCTCGGGCCAGTCCATTACGAACTGCTGCGGGGTGACGCAGCTCAAGGAAGAACATTTATGATCACTGCTTTATGATTTCCTTGAAGTAATAATCACCATATTAATCATTTTGCAATGCAGACGCGGTAGTTCTTCTGCCTTAGCGTCTGAGGAAATTATTGTCTCTCGACGGGGTGTCTAACTCAGTGTTATGGTGTTTGACCCTAACTTAATTTCATGCTGGAATATCCCTTTAATGCAAACAAAACTAAAATAAGGCTTTTCTTCACGTTAAGAGATAGTAGTGATATTCAAGGAATCCCAGCTTATTAATATCTTAGTATCTGGCTTGACGAATCATTTACATTAAATTGAAATCCTCAACAGCAAACTCAGATTTTTCTCTACAAACAGGTCAAACTTTCCTCCTACTTGTCAGATAAATGTTATTGAAGCAGTCTTTCTTTCAGATCTAGATTACATTAAGATAATCTAAAGACTTCCTGCAGCCTCTGGACTTAGTCGATCACTCTGCTTTGTACCTTGAGATCCCTTTGACACTCATCATTGTTCTGCATAACAAAGCCGGTTACTCTGAGCTTTTCGCCAAAGAAAGAAAAATATGACAACAAACCTATAAGAGGTGAAAGAGAGACTTTTATACTCGAACATAAATGCCATTATTCCATTTCACTTTTCTGTATAAGAGGTTTGACTGCCACTCTCCTCTTTCCTCTTTTGAAACATAAATAGAAAGACTGAAATGCACATTGATTTGCATTACTTAGCTGAGTTTCTGGAAATGTGATTAGAAATTCTATTTTAAATTCAGCTCCATGCGAAGCAAAGACACC